AGCTATGTGGTAACGCATCATTTGCCAGTAGATGAACACATTTGTGACAAAAATATTACTTTCATTGCTTCCTTTGAGCAAAGGATTTCTATTAATACTGTTAAATGGAGGATGCGTTTGAAGGCTGCACAAGTAAAGACAGGTATTTTCAGGTGGTTGATCAGAAAAGCAGATAATATTTCAGTCATTTGCTGCGATAAAAGGCATAAAAGGTCTTTATTTACTACCCTATATAGTTTCTAACCTTTAGCTTTAGTCCTGAAATGGATCACAACCAAAAGAGAAAGCTCTCTGTCAAAAGTAGCTGCTTATAAGTAATTTGGCTGATCTTAGTATGGAGATAAATTGAAGTACTAAATCCTCAGGGGAGGACCTCAGCATAAGGAGTAGAAGAGTAGCATTTAGGGAATTTGATCAGGAAACTTTCCAGGAGAATCCTTTTGATTTTTATTATTATTATGTACCACTGAGAGGAGACCCTGAGGACGACTAAGAGCTTGCTGGAAGGACTGTTCATCAGTTCTGGTCTGGAGTACTTTGAAACATCAGCGAGCATATGTTTTCCCTGGGAAGAGGGATGTCTAGGTTTCCTCCTGGTCTTGAGTCCTGACTTCTTATAAGCTAAAGAAAGGATATTTGTGTTGGAAATTACTGTACGTGGTTAAATACAGATTGCCATGGCTGCAACAGCCTGTAATGGATTTCTTTTTTTTTTTTATGTGACAAAAGCTACATTGGGAAAAATGTGATTCGATTGGTAAAATATTTTCCATCCTATCTGTATCTCAACAAGAAAATAACAAAGATTATATAAATATATTCTTTAATTTACTTGCCTCATTTGTCTTGTTTTAGGGACTATTCCAGCTGCCTTTTAGCTAGAGGTAGAGTCTAGTTTGGATGATGCCCCAAAATATTAAACTAGCTCTACCAAAAATATGGTGGAGGTCCTGCACAGACTCAGCCAGTAGTTTTTGATATAGTTGAATATTTGCTTTCTGTCCAGGTAGGATGTGCTTGAATATTTCTGTTCTGAGAATTCAAAATAATCTTAAATCTGTTGTTAGCGTAGGCGGCAGTTTACGAAATGGCAGTGGGTTTATGTGTCATTAACTTTTTAATTGACACTTGACAACAACATTTTCCATTTCAAGTTTTAAATGTATTTTAACCATCTTTCAAATCCTCAGACTCTCACAAAAGGGAAGAAATGCCACTGAGCTCTATGTGGTGCACCATTTAATGAAGAAAATGCCAAATCTGACATAGGGATGTTTTTTTATTTTATTTTTTTGGATTGCATAGTTTGGTTAACCCCAAATTCTCTCATTGGAAAGCTTTTCCCACATTTTTGTTTGAATGCTCAACCCTTCAGTCTGATTGATTGAATATGGCTTTATCAAAAGCAGAATCACACGGATTTCTATAGGTTTGTTTCAGTTGGCAAGAGTTTAGTGTCAAGCTCTGGTAAAGCCTTCCAATGTGTTCCTGGACCTCTCGCTGAGCTGCTTCTGCTTGTTTTGCCAATCCATTATGTCGGTGCTCTGTCTCTGGCTCTGTTTTATATATTGTGCAACTATCTAATCCTCAGAGGATGTAATCAGCACTTTAGGCCAAGTTCTCTTCTGGTGTACAATGTAAAGAATCCAATCTGTCTTTGCAGCTGGGCAAACGGAAGGCTCCGTGAGGATACACACTGGATGACCTTGTAGAGAAGATCCTGCCTGATGATAATCACTCAAGCATTGATCAAAATAATTATCACAACTTCTTTATTTCTTATCCCACATCTGGTTTATCAATCCCATATCAAGCATCCACTGATATACTGCAATGAAATTCTGTGAAGGTGAATGAACTAAGCTTTAGCAAGCATGCTGCAAAATGACGCACTGTACATTGAAGCGATTTCAGCATCCCGATGATAATCAATTTGATTTGTTTTTCAGGCTTTAAAATAAAATGGTAAAAGTGAATTAAAATGCTATGACACTCTAAAAACTGATGCAACAGGGCACTGCTTTTGAAAGTGCTCAGTCATTCAGTTGCAATGACTAAAAGTAGAATAAGGTAGAAAATTACCTGTTTTTTGGGTTTTTCTAATCCACATATTTAACAGTAACTTTTTCATTTTCTGTTTTCTTCCAACTTTAAATTATGAATAAGTAAATCTTTCCACTAGTACACTGGAATCAAAATACTTCTTAATCTTCTAAATCATATCTTGGCCCCTCTGGACATACTTTATTTTGATCATTTTGGAAAAAATATCTTACTCTTTTTAGACACTTAAGATTTCTCTTGCTTTGTCTGGACTTTGAGTCCATCCTTGATTCTGGATTTGCTTGGAATCATGGATAATGATGCTGGTGTTACATTTGGGGATTGGCAGCCTAGTGGTTGGGGCATAGATCTTGGAATCCTGAGGTTCTGAGTTTGATTCCCACTCCCACAGACTGTCATTCTGGGTCCCTGAACTTAACCCCACATTGCTTCCCAGGCACCGCACAATGGCAGCCCGCTGCTCCCCAAGGAGATGGGTTAAATGCAGAAAGTTCATCTTGTTGCTCTGTACTTGTGACAGTGCATTAACAATAGAAGCTGGAAAAAAAAAACCTTCTGTATAAAATTGGGATCTAACCTCATTGGTTTCTGGCTCGTTGGTTCCTATCATCCGAGGAAAACCGTTAATAATAATAGTAACTAGACACACCTTTGAGGAAAGTGACTTTCTAGTTGTTTCTTAAAAAGGACTGTGCCTAGTTTGTAGTGGAATTCTACTATTTTACTCTCAAGTCAACTATCAGTGTCAAACAGGATGATTTATTGACTATATTAAATTAAAGGTAGGCCCAGGAAATGTATCTCTTCAGATTACCTATGCCATATATCTGATTAGTGTGGCTAAAAGTGGTCAGATATTCAGCGAAAGTTATGTCATAGAGTTATTGATAGGTACAGAAGGCAGGTGCTTTTTCTGCAACTGGCACAAAGGATTAAATATTAGAGATGATGCATGAATGTATTTATAGAGGACACAAGTATTTGCATTCAGAGGGTTGGGTTAATATTTGAACATTAAACCATAAGTTCTGTTTGGCTTTTAACATTGGTTCTGGCTGCTGCTGGTGAAATAATATTTTCTTTTTACATTTTTCACTTCGTTAGCAGTATTTTATGTTTTTAGCCCCACAGCCTGGGTGATTATTCTTGCTGCCCCTCAATCTTACTTCAGTGTATGATCTTCTAATAGCCACTCCCAGCATCTCAGTTTTTGTTTTGAAACATGATGGAAGTCATGTTTCAAAGCTAAATAGGTTTTATTGTTATCTTCCATTTATCTCTTCTTTCTTTCATCTTTTCTCCTTTTTCCTGTTTTTTTTCCTTCCTGTTCTACTTACATTGCAGTGTCCATATGATCTGTAATACTTCCAGCATAATTATAATAAAGCTATTTACATGTATAAATCACTGCTCCACTTGTGAAAGCAAAATCTGTTGGGCCCTTTTTTTGGCATCAATTCAATATTATCTTATTGCCACATTGCCAGACAGGGCACTGTAAAAAAAAATAAATAAATAAACTTTAGCCAATCATTGGCCACCCTTGTGGCCACCCCTACCATTTTTTCCCTCTCATACAGATGATGGCAAGAATAATACTCTCAAGTGGAATATTCAAAACATTTTATTTTTTGTGGTTAATTATGCACATCAATATACTAACATCAAAGATAAGTACAGAATTCATTCTTTTTAGAACTAGATTTTGTGTTTTATGGGGTAAAGACAAATTTGTGTCTCTCCAAGCCATCTACGAGTCTTCAGTGAAATCAAAGATAAATAATTTTAATATAAAAACTTATCAAATAATCCATTTATGTAGATATTAGTGCTTGTAAATATCAATTTTATGCAGAATGTTTATTGATACAAGTAGGTAAGTAATGACAATGATGATTGATTTACGCCCCAGAACTCAAAACTGAGTTTAATCCACTATACCTTTTATCTAGAAATTACAGATGTTTAAATATATGCGTCTATTTGTTAGCAAAGGCTGTAGGAAAGTATAGTTAGCCTTTATTTAGAAAATATGGATGTTTTGCTCGTTAATTTTCCTGTTGGAACATTGTAGATTGACCGAGAGCTTTTGGCGCCTATCTGCTTTCGGCCACCCCTCAGTATACATTGGTTATTGCCTGGCCACCATTATAAAAAATTTCTGGCTACACCTCTGCTTGATAATAACCCCATGTGTTCTTTGTATCTAGGTAGTACTTTATTGTATGTCTCGTACGATATCCGTTGCTTGTGCTTTTCTTTTTACATTTCTTTGCAGGTGATGAAGCAGACTGAAAATGTTTTATCATTATCTCCCTTTTATCTCCTCTGTTTTTCCTTTCCTGTTCTACTTACATTACAGTGTCCATATAACCTGTAAAACTCCCTGGATAATTATAATAAAGCAATTTATATGCATAAAACAAGCGGAACACTACGGCGATAGCCGTACTGCTCCACTTGTGAAAGTAAAATCTGTTGGGCTCTTTTTGGCATCAAGACAATTATTCTTATTGCCACATCAACAGACAAGACACTGTAAAAAAAATACAATAAAATAATAATCATAATGATAATAACCCCATGTGCATTGTCCAAATTTTAAACTTGTGGAGCCAATTCCTTGTTTTAAAATCATTTAAACTATTCTGTGGTTTTGCCATTTGATCTAGAATTATACAATTAAAAAATAAAAGCTTAAAATAAATAAATTTGGAGTTTATGAGTGTGTGTTTAAGCTTCTCCTCAAAAATATTTATAAAATCGGTGGAGGGGAGATAACTTTCTTTGGGGGTTTTATTTTGAAAATATTCGGATACACATGGATGTTATGCAGGGAGCTTGATAGCTGTGAGGCAAGACTCTGCGGGAGGGAGGGGTGGGGGGCTCATCAACTAGTTGGAAAAGGGGTTGAACCGAGGACGTGTGTGGCTTTTGAGGGGAAAAAAAAGTGGCATCCGCGTGAGGAAGGCGAGCCTCCTGCAGATCATCAGCTTCTTTGGACTTGAACCGGCAGCTCTGTGAGTCGCTCTGCTGAATCGGATTGTGATTCTTCAAGCCTGGATTCAACCATGACTGCAAACCTTTGGATTTACCAGGTTTTGCTCTGCGGTCTGGTCATTTTTCTGGATACAGGTAAGAACTGTAAAGTTTATTACTATTCGATATTATATTGTTGTTTTTTTTGTTTGTTTGTTTTTTGTTTTTTAGTTAGAAATAAATTTAGGCTGCGTGAAGGAATTTTAAATTTCACGTTTGAGGTAAATATATCTGAAAATCTGATATTAGACAAAAGTTTGAATATTTAGAAGTGGCTCTATATTTCTTATTAAAATAAAGTAAAAATTTCAAGAATGAAAACTTTGCAATATTGTAATTTGATTAGAGCAACTCAATTATTATTGTTTCCATCAACTTTCTGAGTCCTTTTTGCAGTTTATAAAAAAATATATAAAGAGATTAATAATCCTTCACTGTGTGGTCCTAATTATAATAGTTGTTTTATACATAACTTTTCTGTTTATGTGTATTTCTTTCCTCTTTATTTTCTTTTTTTGTACCTGAATATGACTTTTATTTATTACCTGAACATCTTTTCCCTCTCAGAACATTTTTTTCCTAAGGAACATAGCTCTTCTTTTAAGTATTTTTCCTTTTATTAGTATTTAGTTCTTAAGTTTATTTTATATCTTCTGTCTGCTTGTTTTTGTCCCTTGTCACACCCAAATTTCTCAACAGTGAGGGGTAGAAAAGCCATTTCTTATCTTATTTCTTACTGCTGGACCAGCACAGAACCAAAGACCACTTTGCTTCAAAGATGCTTCAGAGTCCTGTAATTTAGCATTGCATCCGCCTCCATAGAAATATATCTAAATGCGGCTCAAATAAATAGTGAGTTATCTGATGGCTTTACATGTTGACCCTGCTCACATCTGTCCAGCTTAAAAGGTCAACGAGTAAAGCACTGGATCTGTAGTTGCCACCTTTAGTGGTGTTGACCCTGACCTCTGACTGCACCAGAGGTGGGAACAGTAAAAATGTGCACCCACAACTGTGGTGTTTGTGCACCTAGAAAGAGTAGAAAAGAAGAGAACAAGAAGGGAATTAAAAAGCTGTTGTGTGTGTGGGTGTTGGTGTGTGTGTGTGTGGTGGACTGGGGCGGAGGGAGCTTAACATCTGGCTGCTCAATACTCCAGCACATTTGCACCCTCCAAAACAGATGTATTTTCAGCTTAATTCCCAAACATAGACTAACCTGTTTCTTTCCCGTCTTTTATGCACTGCAAAATGCATGAGAAGTGATGGATTTTTTAAGACCCTAAGAAATATTGTGACCAGGGATGCAACTAACGATTATTTTGCAAATCAATCTGTTGAATATTTTCCGTTAATCGATTAATAATCAGACAGCCCAAGGGTTCCTTAAAGAAGGTTCTGGATAGAGCGAACAAACGAAAAAGATTTTCATCTTAAATGTTAAATGATTACTTTTTTTTTTTTTTACAATTTCTATAATTGTTGCTCAAGGTGGGTTGCTCTGTCAGCTAAAGACACAGTTTAGAATCTCCACACTTCAGTTAACAATAAACTGAATACTAAATTAGTTGACGATTATTTCAAAAATCAATCACAATTAATCCAAGTCATTGTTTAGCTTTAGTTGTGACGCAAATGAACATTTCAAATATAATGAAATGGATGAACACTGCACAAGGTGAAACATGGTATAGACAGAATCATGCTCTGGGGGTCCTTTTCTTTACATGAAAAGGGGAAGCTGGTCATATACAATAAGAAAACCTGCTAGATGCTCTGGATGTAGGCAGAAGATCATTTCCTGCTTGATATAAAGAATCAGACCTGCATGGAATGATGTAGGGCACATATCTTAGAATGCCTCAAAGTCCTGCTTATGTCTAAGTAGAAGGTTGATGAGCACAAAATCTCCACTAAAGCTTAAACTTGCATTTTGCTAGAAGCTATGAAGGGAAAACAGGCTTTGAGTGGAAGAATGCACTCTGGTCAGAAGAGACCAGAATTGGTATTGTGAGGAAAGAAAATGAGTAGAGCACATCCCACTCAAAACACCATTCACCCTGAAAAATGTGGTGGCAGCATTATGGTGTGGGATTGCTTTTCTTTGGCTGGTTAGAGATTGCTTAGCTGCACAGAGGGCAGCTCTGGACCGCATCACATTAAAGGCTGGAAAATTCTTGCCACAGGGCTGGGGCTTCACCTTTTAGCAGGAGGCATATTCATGTTTCAGTCAAACAGTGAAGTAAAAAGAGTCGTTTCTACAGAAGGTCAGAGTGTCAGTCCTTAAAAGTCCTAAACTAAAACTCATACCTGTTCCTCCATTACGTCCACCTCTTCCCGTTAAATCTCGTCACTCTCACCCCACTGAGCACCTTTTATCCTTATCCTCATGCTTCAGCAAAATGATTTGGAGATATGTAGAGATAGCAGGGGTCTGAGTGCAAGGAGAGGAAGAGACTAAGTGAAATCTAATTGAGCGGCCCGGCCAGACATCAGGGCTGGAACAACACGGTGATGACTGCCAGATGTGGTCCAGTGGAGCCCAAACATTAATAACATGTCCTCCCCTAAAACCATTTTCAACCACGACAACCTCTAAACGGTCCACAGTTTACAGTATCCTAAGTACACACACAGCATCTTGTGTTGGGTCTTGGCACAGGGGCATGTGGCTGTAACTCGGTAGCAAAAGATTTTTCTGGGTGATTTATAACACACTTGTCTTTAACTATAAACTTAAAGTTTAAAGGTGCTGGTGAACACTAGGAAATGACAGTTGGAGGCGAGCTCAATCTGGCTAAAGGGTGGAACCCCACCCAAAAAAGCAGGTAGAGATGACTGATTTATGTCACAAAATGTTAATCTTAAAATATGAGTCTGTCCTACTTCTGAACCCCCTTGTGATCCCGTGTGCTTTGTGCCACATTTTTGCAATGATAGACTTCTCTTTTGATGTGCCTCTTCCCAAAAAAAAAAAAAAAAAAAACAGCTCTCCACACAGCTCTATAAATAAGGCAAGAATGAAATATAATGGGTCCATTTGCAATGCCGGCCTCTTAAAGGTTCATTCTCCACGCATACTGTTCTTTTCTTACATTTCCAAAAGCCGAGAGGCTGTACATTAAACATCATACATAAAAATGTTTTTTTTATGTTTTTTTATTTTATTGGAATTTCTGATTGATTTTAAAGTTTCTCTGGCAAGCTAAGGCCACTGAGTAAAGGTTCTGGTTGCACAATATAAAACAGAAATAAACTTAAAGTCAGCATTGTTAAACAGCAAGACCTCTTATAAGTCTTCAACTCTTACATCATGAATATATGATTATGAAATGCTTTCTGTAGGAGCCGTGATAACCCTAACTCAAAACGATAGTGTTCCAAATATGACAAAATGGAAAAAATCTGACTTAAGCCTGTAAAATATGAGATATGTTTTCATGAGGTTATCCAGGGCAGTGTATAATCCTGTTGACAGGTGTCACTCTACTCCTAGCTTTTGAAGCAAACAGGCGTTTTGAACAAGGCTTTGATCCAAAGCACATTTTGTGTTTGTTTTTCTGATATTCTTTATAGATCCAGTTTGGTTAGGCGGGATCAGATTTGCACTGCTTGCAAACGTAATCATAATATTGATTTTAATATTCATTTCAGTTTGTGCAAGTCTGCTTTGATGTGATTTCTTTTCAACCGCATTACTGTACCTTTATATTTGTGTCAACAGTTGGTTCATAATTGTGTCCTGAGATGTGCCACATCTTTTTTTTTTTTTTTTATAGCACACTGTTGACATGCAACTGTGCAACAAAAGGCTTAACCTCAGTCAATTAGTTCACACATCAGAACAATTTATCAAAGATTGCACAACGTTCGGTGATGGAATAACCGTTAACATGGAAGAACTCTAAGTTATGCTCTTGAAAGTGATAACATTTTTGGGTGTTGATTAAGTAAACAGAGCACAAGCTGAGACTTGTTTTAAAAATACCTGAAATGCTTGATTTGAATATAAGCAAAGAAGTTTGTTTATTTTTTGTGATTTAACTGAGGCTCTGAATCTTAACTAAGTTCCTGCTGGTGCTCAATGAGAAATGTGCTGCTCTTCAAGATTTATTCACCATGTTCCTCAGCTTTAAGATACTTTCTGGATATTTTTTTGGAGAGTGTCTTGTACGTTCAGAAAGATATTTTACAAGGCAAATATCTTGCAAATTTGGGGAATTAAACCCTTAAAGTGCTCTGTCAGTTCTGGGGAACTAACAAGTTTTTCCTGGTTGGTTCCAAGGAAGTGACAATGAAATCCCCTCTATGACTAACTTTAAAAAGATTTGATGAAAAGGATTTACTGAAGGAATGTCCTTTGAGCAAATTGTTGTCTTATCCACTGTCCAAACAAGATCTGGTTGGAAAGAAAAAGTTAATTAAGCCAGTATAAAGATTTTGCTTGGCATTAAGTCCAAAAAGTAAATTAGAAGAAAAGTTGGTCCCAAGTGGGGTGGCGAGGGGTGCTGGTGCCTATCTCCAGCTGTTAATGGGCGAGAGGCGGGGTACACCCTGGACAGGTCGCCAGTCCATCGCAGGGCAACATAAGGACAAACAACCATTCACGCTCACACTCACAACTAAGGAGGATTTAGAGAAGCCAATTAATCTAACAGTCATGTTTTTAGTCTGCGGGAGGAAGCCGAAGTACCCGGAGAGAACCCACGCCTGCTCAGGGGGAACATGCAAACTCCATGCAGAAAGACCCTGGGCCGGGAATCAAACCCAGAACCTTCTTGCTTCAAGGCAGCAGTGCTTGTAGCAGCATTGTACTTTTGCAGAAAGTCTCAAAGGGCTAACGTAAATAAAATATAGGGCTGCAAATATTTTTTTCAATTAATCCTTTAATAATCAGTTCCTTTAAGTAGATTTTTTACGAAATTACACCAACTGAAACTAAAACTTTTCCACTTGAGGAGTTCTGGATAGAGCATACTGAGAGAATAAAAGTTTTTTTTTCTCTTAAATTTAAAATATTTATATATTTTCTAACAATTCTGATATAATTGCTGCTCTAAGTGAGTTGCTCTGTCAGCTAAAGGCATGTTTTACAGTCTCTATACTCCAGTTAACGGTTAACCGATTATTCAATTATTAATTTGATTATTTCAGTAATCAGTTAATCACGATTGATCCAATTAATTGTTTCAGCCCTATTGAAATATAATATAAAATGGGGATCTTAAAAGGCAGCGTTCACATAAAGGGTATTAATAATCAGATTCAATCTGAAATCTAGAGATTATATCAGGTTTCCTCTTATGTTGGTCCTAATACTGTTTGGGAAAGTTAGTTCTTATGAAATTTGACAGATTAGGACCAAACAGGTTCAAACCACAATAAAGAAGCTATATCCTGTCAATAGATGTTAATCATATAGCCCCCTGGTACTAACTGGCAAATTGTCTGTACAGAGGGGGTCCTGTGGTTGAAATCTGCAAAGGTACCAACACATAAAGCAGAAAAGTGATGGGCATCATACCTAAATCTTGGAGAATCAACATGTTGCATTAGATACATCTTATAGAGAGGATTAAAAACCCTTGTTTTGATTTTTACAGCTTGACTAAAAAATATCAGTCAGTGTTGTAGTTACAAATTTGCCAATGTTAGATTATTTCAGTACATTTGGATAAGTTTATCCCAACTAGTTACAATTGAAATATGTTGATGGTGCAATTGTAAACCTGAGGGACAATGCAGCTTCCTGTTAATGAGTTATTAGGTGTATTTTCACAGAGGATTTGGAGGATTAAGGAGTATAGGAACTGAGTATCTCTGGGTCTGTGTTTTAGGGTGCTGTCGAAACCCTCGCCGCCAGTCTTTACAGAAGTATGAAAAGAGCGAGGGCCACATGCTGGTTTGCTCTGACTGTTCTCAGACTGCAGTGATACAAAAGAGCCGCTCACAGGAACACTGTGCAAGAAAGTGCAGGAAGAAAAACTTCAACTGCAGGTGAGTCAGTTTCTCTGAATTCTCCCTGTTCCCCCTCACTCCCCAGTGTGTCTAATAGTATTTACATATTTTTGTTGTTTATCATTTGGTCATCTTTCAACCGCTTCCCGCTTGTCTCCACAGAGCCTTCAACTTTCAAAGGCACAACAGGAAATGCCACTTGCTTCCTTTTGACCGTTTCACCCACGGTGTGCAGAAGCAGGCCAACATCAACTTCACTCTGTACGAAAAAAAAGGTAGCTGTCACCCTTCTCGCAGTGTTGTCACTGCTTTTCTCATGAGAACAGCAAGGAGTGGCGGGTATGCACAGACTGTTTGTGGTGGTAACACATTTCTGTTGCCTCGTCAAGTCTTTTAGGTGTTTGCTTTCCCTGTTGACATATTAGAAGCCGTGAATCTCATCACATACAGCAGTTTAATCCTTCTGCTTTGGAGAGCTAATGCTTGAACATTTAGCAGGCTTAAGTGGAGCATAAACATAAAAATAAAAAAAAAATCCTTGTTTACAGCCAACACGGCAGAGCTTTGCCTGAAGTGCAATCTGTGGAATCTAGTGGAAGTTTGGACAAAGTCAAACTTCCACTTTAGAATTTATTGCAGAATTTACGAAAGCTTCCCTTCGGTCGTGTGTGTTCTGGGAATAACATAAAAGCTCGATGATAACTAATTTTAGAAAAAGTCCTTTCCACCATACTTGGTCAACTATGTCTCGATGCTATTATGCCATTTTGACTTTGAGGTGCCTGTATAAACTCATACAATGTCTCCTATACCTTTATTCTTTCAGAATACATCAGAGAGTGTATCAGTGGCACAAAGGACAACTACAGAGGGAGGAGGTTTTGGACAAAGTCAAACATCACCTGCCAAGCTTGGTCTGATAATAACATCAATGAGCACACGTAAGTCCACTTTTTATTCTTCAGGAAGTAAGCACAGCATTGTTTTCAACCTTTCCCTTTCATGTCACTCTTAGATATTTTAAACCATAAAGAAATTCTGTTTTTTTGTTGTTGTTTTTTTAAGTGAAAGAGTCTAAAGGATCAATTCCTACATGAAAATAATATAACCTCCTGAACATAAGGGCTCATTCTACCCCATTAGGGATTTGGGAATAACAGCGGTGAATCTCATACATGATCTCATGTCGATTTTGGCTCATTCCTTTTAACAGAATTGTTTTTATTTACCGACGCTAGAGGGTTTTCAGGAAATAATAACATTCTCCTTCAGGGTGTTCTGGCAGGGAGCAGAATCGGTGCCAAAAAGCTTTCTTTCCTGTAACAGAGCACTCCATCTATCCATTTTCTGACACGCTTCATCCCAGCTGGGGTCTCCAGCTGTCAAAGGGCGAGATGCGGGGTACATGCTGGACAGGTCACCAGTCCATCGCAGGGCAACACAGAGACAAAAAGGACAAACAACCATTCGCTCACACACTCGCACCTAAGGAGAATTTAGAGAAGCCAATTAACCTAACAGTCATGTTTCTGGACTGTGGGAGGAAGCCGGAGTACCCAGAGAGAACCCAGGCATGCTCAGGGAGAATATTAAACTATATGCAGAAAGACCCGGGGCTGGGAATTGAACCCACAATCTTCAGTGCTACCCACCCTTAATAGAGCACTATCATTTGAAAATTGCATTTTCTTTTTACAGTTATTCGTTTGGAAATTGTATATGACAAAAACGTAAGAAATAAAAACGATTTTAGGTAATAATTGTATCTGTAATTATATTAAGTGACTTACCAATTGTTTTATACAAATGTTTAATTTGATGAATGAATAAAGGTCCGGTGCCTTGCTCATAAATTACATCCAATCCAGATTTAAAGCGCACATCTTTTTTTAGGCTTCCAGCTTCCTCCAGGTTGTGTCTTGTGTTTTCTCTGTGCCTGATACTGAGCAGACCTCAACCTCTGATTTATTGTTGCTCGGTTCATCCCCTTCCACCTCGGGGGTTAGGGGAAGGTGGAGGCTCAGAGATGGTTGAACGTTTATCCAGAGTTAAGTCAGATTTCTTTCAACACATGCAGGGATGTCCCCCCTGTTGACTTTCTTTTTTTTTTTCCTCTTTGCTTCACCAGAGGCCATCAGGTGTGTCCCAGAGATGTTTTCTCTTAGCTACAGTAAAGCAAGATCAGTGACTCTGCTGAGATGGATCTTTGCCAGCTTCTCATTAGCGGTGCTCATTAGTTACAAGATATTTTAACTGTGGCAGAGAAGGGATTTGGGAGAGGGGGTAATAACAGTTTGAAGAGGTGCAGAGTGAATAATAGAAGCGAGGCAGAATAAAATAAAGAAGGCGCAAAGATTTATAGACTGAAGTCATTTTTTTGTCTGATGTCCAACGAAGTTCACTGAGTTACAAGCATACTGAGACAAAATACAGGTTTGCTTACAATTAAAACAGATTGCAGTGGGGTTCCTCTTCTCTCCCATGCTCCAATCCTGTCATCACTTTCCAAAAGCAGTGGTTAACATAAGGAAACCTTTGTCATCTTTTATTTGACACATGGTCTCGGCGCTCTACTCAAATAGAAATGGACGTCTAATGTCAGAATTTCAAAGGGTGAGTGAGAGATTAACTGTAGGGAGATTTAGTCCCACTGTGGGGTTACCTAACATTGGACTGTCCCGCTGTGCGAGAATTACCACCCTAGTGAACAATGCACCGTTTGAGGCTCAGGTGACTATTATTTTCATGCATGGCTGATGTTGTTGGTGTGAAGGGGGGGTATTTTCTCAGGAGGTTCCCTTCCAGAAGTGGGACTTCCACCTGTTGTCAGTGTTTGCGGTTTTTACCAAAGCAGTGCTGGCAAGTCAAGCTTAGAGAATTTGCACCTCCTCCTTATGTTACATAAGAGCTTAAAGATCCGTTAATCTGCCAAATCCAAAAACGTATGAAATGGGTTTAATTATATTCTAGCTTTTAAAAAAATATCCTAAATTATTCTGCACTCTCTAGCAAAGTTTGTATTCAACATGCATCAGTTTAGAAACAGATTTTGACTTATTTAAAGGAACCTAATTGTTTATAAGCCTTACGTGTTTATTTACACAGACTTAAGGTTAGAGAGGACAATGCTTTCTAAATGTGAAGAAAAATCTCCTGCTAATTAAATTTGTTCTTGGCTAATAATAGTAAAGCAAAAGGTGGTAGCAAATGTTTGACCTTCTAATATTTTCACAGGAAAGAAAGCAAAAATATTAAGAATCTTTTTAAATACTTGCAGGCTTGTTAGCAGAGTTAATGTTGGGGAAAGTCATTCACTCTAATAGAGTTTCCATGATTTAACTGAACATGTTCCTCCCTGTTTCAGTTAAAATTCAAAGCAGAGTCTTTCTGTTGAGGAGACTGAGGTCTTTTGGAGTGCAGAGGGCTCTCCTAAAGACCTTCTATGACTCTGTTGTGGCATCAGCCACCTTCTATGGGGCTGTCTGTTGAAGCAGTGGCCCATCTTTAGCTGAGAAAAAGCGGCTGATCAGGAAGACCAGCTCTGTGATTGGATGCCCTCTGGACTCAGTGCAGGAGATGGGAAACAAAAGGATCCTAACTACATTAGGATAATGTTTCCCACCCCATGCATGAAGCTGTTGCTGAACAGGAGAGCTCCTTCAGTGACAGACTGCTGCACCTTAAATGCACCAGGGAGCGTTATCACAGATCCTTCCTCCCAGCACCTGTAAGACTTTATAACCACCACTGTTCCCAACAACCTCAATAAGTTGTTACATCAATGCTGATTTTGCACAGTTTCTACCTTAGTCAGTTAAATAACATGCTGCTCTCATTTTGCACATCTTTGATGTTGCTGCTATTTTCAAATATCCATTACTGTAAAAATGTCCATAGCTGCATATTGGTTACTTATTCTCTAGGTGCACAGTTTTTATATTGTTAAAACACTTTACAGTGCAGTATTTCATTTGTTTATTTTATAACTCTTCACTATTATGTTATTCTTATGCACTTTTCTAAGGTCCGCATTCGTGTGACCATTTTTTTCTATAATCTTTTTGCAGTGCAAACACAAGAATTTCCCCAATGAAAACAAAAAGTTTTCTATTCTAATCTATTCTCTTCTAAAAGAAAGTAAAAATATGAGGAACTATGGATCATTTTAATGGGCTATAGGTGTCTGTCTACACACCTGAAATGAATTTGTTAACAGCTTTGCACCCTGTTTAAGGAGGCCTAAAGAGGGATACCTAGTTTTAATATAGCAACTATATAAACTTCAATATTTTGCTATTTTTTATAGAAATAAAGTAAAAACAATAGATTTTGCACTTAATTGAGCAAAGTTTAGCCACTGTTATCTGAGCCATGCTATAAATTTCTTAATATAATTGCAATTTCTTTCAATACTATTTTTAGAGAGCCAAAATGACCATGGATATTTAGTTTGTGTTATGTTTTCAGTTTATCCCCTTAATTCTTAATTTATAGTGTCATTTCTTTGTGCTTGGGAAAAGAGTTTTAAAAAATGTCTGCGCATAAAGGGAGTATTTTTATGCACTGAAGCCTTTAGTCCACCTGAAATCACCTTGTTTGTTGTAGTTTTTTATTTGTTTTGCAGCAGATACTAGAGGCCTAGATTTCATCCTCTGTATTTTCCAAAATTAAGCCAATATGTGTCATTGGCTTACAGCGGGAAGCATGTGTGCACAGTGTCTGCCTGCACTCCGATGGGAACAGAGTTTGGCAAAATGATGAATAACTGGCCAACATCTGTTAGCAAAACATCATTACAGCTAACTTGCTCCCATGCTGCAGCCTTTTTTCTCTCTCCTTAACTTTTTTCTTAAAGTGAAGAAACCTGCAATCCGGTTTCTAAATTAACAGTACAGCTTTTGTGATAGTCATACAGTCTATTGAGTTTGTGAGTTACACACAGCAGATGTGATCTTTGGCCCTAGGCAAAGATTCATGCTGCTTTGGAACAAGTGTTTTGTTTTAGTTACATGCATAAATGAGAAGTTGCAGTTGGATCTAGCCCTGTTGCATTATGACATGCATGACTGTGGGATTAGAAGCTCTTTGTTTGCTGTTAAACTCTTTTTTTTTTATATATTATTATTATTATTATGCTTTTGCCAAGTTAAATGATAATAATTACCTTTGTTCCAGGACAGAATAAACTGGGTATGAATATTTTGAGAGAGCCTTGCAGAGTCCTCACAATGGGCCCAGGGTGAAGTGTTTGGACAAGTTACTGAAGGAAAGACTTTTGCTGTTCACATGTCGCTAGCTGAACGAGATTTTCAACATTTTCTTTAGCTCTATTTTTTCTTACTCATCCGTACCATTTTATCCTTCTTTGCTAAACTACACCTTAAGCTTCCTTCAGTCCCAACCGTCTCTATCTGGCGGTCTGCAGGAATCAGAAAGCGTTGACAGGCTAGGTTTTTATCAATCTGCCCTGATAGAAGAGGAAATGAATGCAGTTGTCATTTATATGGTGGTCCAGGTCAAATGCAAAAGCCATAATGAAAATGTAACACATGGCTTTTGTGTTTGTATTGCAGCTTTTAAATTTAACCCGAGACCTCTGAGCCACCTTTCATTTACCCTGGGGGCTTCTTCATCCCTCTCTTCTTTGCTACTCCATATAGCTTTGGCAGTTACATTTTATTTCTAACACTTTCCTTGACACTAATGTGGTGCAACAGTCGACAGAGAAGGATTAGCTTTAAATGCACTTAAAGGTGGCCAGCAAAGGAGCTGCTTGCGCGGCTCCAAGTGGCCCGTAGCATAGCTGTACCATGCTGGTGGTTACCGTGCTATGACATTCGAGCTGCTGCACACTTCAGAGTCTGGAAATGGTTGAGATTGGTAACGCGATTATGCAAAAGGTGCAACAACGGGAAAGAGAAAGGTATCGATGACTTGGTTTGCATGTGATTGCTATGAGAGGTCATTGGATGATGTGAAGAAAATGCAGCCTGCTAAGACTGCCTGTGCTTGGATTTCAGAGTTATGCATATAACCTAATTAAGTTTCCCTTAGAATTTATTTGGATTGTTATGGGCTGCCCTCTCAAGCCAATGTGATACTAAAAACATGGCCAAATGTGTAAGCACTCCTGCAAATTTATTTATACGGCTTATGGTATCAGTTAACACCTTCAGTAATGTCTGTCTGTGCCCCTCTAGGTTTTATCCAGACAGGTACCCAACACAAGACCTGAGGAAAAACTTCTGCCGGAATCCCAACAACGATCCTGGTGGTCCGTGGTGCTACACCACAGACCCTAATGTACGAGCTGAGGAGTGTGGCATTCCACAATGTTCTCAGGGTAAGGCAAAATATAATGTAGACAAAATGTCTCTGATTAAATTAAGATGAAATTGAGAGGTGCTTAAGTTTGATTAATGTTTGTGAACTTTAATGGCCTCTCTGTCATAGGATTTGTTTATAATTCTTAAAAGGGGAAACAGTTTCTTGATAATTGTTGTTTTTTTGTTGGCAGAGGTTTGTATGAGCTGTAATGGAGAGGATTATCGGGGTAAAGTGGACCAAACAGAAAGCGGCAAAGAGTGCCAGAGATGGGACTCTAAATGGCCTCATGTACACCCGTTCCAACCCAAGAAGTAAGCTGAAAACCATAACGTTGATCTTTCTCACAGACACCAGCACACACCCATGACAGATGCTTGAATAAATGACGCTAATGCTCAGGAGAGGTAGACCTCACCAGTTGTTATGACTTACTTCCCACCCCACTTCCTTTTTCCCCCGTTTTCACTCTGTCCCTGCAGGTATCGAGATAAAGACTTGAGAGACAACTATTGCCGTAACCCTGATAATCGTCTGCGGCCCTGGTGCTACACCATGGATCCCAAAACTCCATGGGAGTACTGCAACATCACAGTGTGTGGTAAGGATGTTTTTATATCTGCAGCAGTAAGCTTGCTGACTGAAGTCTTCAAAGAAACCAAGGGACGCTTGAACGATTGTCTTTAATCTGATTTATGACTCTGTTGGTGATTGTTTTTTTTTTTTTTTTTTTTTTAGCATCTTTCATGCTTCTAACCTTCAAACAGTATGTGTCACACAACTGGGATTTTGTCTAAGGACTTGAAAGGAGACTTAGCCACCAGGGTATTAGGGTTTTTTTGTTTGGTTTTGTATCACCATCAGGTTTTATCATTGAAGCTGTTACTTACAAGACTTTAGTGGCTTTGGTGGTTCTCTGAGAATATAGTTTCCCTCTGAAACACTACAAGTTGTTTAATGTGGTGTTCGGCTTTACATCCCTCCACCTCAAAGGGGGACAACAAATAAGTTGTTTGTAACTGAGATGATCTAAGCCTGGAAACTAGAGGATGCTGATAAAGGCCAATGTATCAACATGCTTTATGTACAGACTCTTAAGCTGGAAATACCCCTTAAATATTTTCAAAAATTGTCACATTACAAATCCGACTTGAATGTATTTTGTTTGGATTTTCTCTGATAGACAAACATAATTCCTTTTTTTAAAATAAAATTCATAAAGTGAAAGTTTGCGTATGTATTTGGATAGAATCCAGTGAAACCAACTGCCTACTGAATTCCTCTCATTAAAGAACGCTTTAGAAGTTTAGAGAATTAACTGAAAAAGTTTAAAACTGTTAAGTTAGGGTTAAAAGATGTGTAACTACAACAGGAAAGAAAAAAAACTATTGTTAAAAGAAGGTCATAGATGATCCTTTTTTTTTTAAGTTTTTCCGAACATTTTCCATATGGAAGAAGGTGCTTGGTCAGGAGAAACCGTTATTAAACTTTCTGACTGTGAGGGACCAAAAGGACAAAAGGTGTTCAAAAATTGAAAAAAAATAACTTTATTTAATAGTGTCAAAAAAGGTTAAAAGCAATACAAAATAGTTTAAATAATAAATAACGTGGATTTGCGCCCAACTCAACTGAGGTCAACTGAACAGGAATTAAGTCAAACAAAAACGAGGAATAACCTAAACTTGCCACATGAGAAAGAAACAATAAATTTAAAAAAAAGTCCATACAAAACTAAAACATAAATAAAACAACTCTTTATTTTAGCACAAAGAATTGAATATTAAGGTGACAAAATAACCAAAGTAAACTTAAACAAAATTCCCCCCTCATTCTTGGGAAAGTGGTTTGTTCCTGGGTGCTTCCACCTCTAACTGATCTGCATTTGCAGAACCTCAAAGTGTGCACCCATTATAAAATATACATCTAAATGAAATGCCAAACTAAATGTGGATCTAAATGCATACTATGAAACTATACAAACACTTTGTGGTGAGGTAGAAGGATCCACCACACTGACCAACAAGCAGAATGCTATTTGTGGCAAATAAATGAACACAATATAGCTACAGTGAAACATGGCAGCAGCAGCAGCATGCTGGTGATATCTTTTGTCAGCAAGAACAGGGAAGTTGGTTAGAGGCAGATAGATGAAGCAAGAATTTAAGATTCTAGATGCCCAAAACTTACAGAGATACACCCAAAAAGATTTCCAGCTGTGTCCAAAACACGGTTCCACAATTATTGATTCGGGCGGCCTGAACCATGTCCTACTGCTCTTTCACTTCATAGTTTTGCATAACTTGGTTTTGCTTTGTCTCCTAAAATTCCCTAAAACATATTGAGGTTTGTGGTTTTAACGTGACGAAAAGCAAATGGGTTCAACAGATATGAAGACGTTTCCAAGGCGCTGTAGACTGAAGGGGACAGTAGCCATTACGCTGGCATGAACGCTGGGTCTGAATCACAGCATATCGAGACAATTTAATGTGAAAGGAGCAAAGCGATTGCAGATGCTTCCTCCCGGGGCTCAGGGGGTCAGTGAATGGTGTGATGAACATGAAAATGATGTGAATCATATGCTACAGCCCTCACAGACACTAGACTTCAACCTAACTTAATGGCAATGGAAGACTTTGGACTTTCTGACATCTCAGGCAGGGCTCTGTCTTCCATAATCGCAGCACAAATTGAGACTGGATCTGTTGGAAAATGGTGTTTCATCAGAAAGTAAATGGACACAAGCCCTACAGACCCTCAGCTGTTACCCACCTGCCATACGTTATTAAAGTAGAGCTGAATAATACAACTTCACTTGACTCAGATTACTTTGATTCCTTCCTTTGATAGTTTTTGTTCTTGAGGTGCAATAGAGCCACAGAAAACTCTATTAAAAAGGGAGAAAAAAAAAAGTTTTTTGGAACTTTTTTTTTTGTTAAAATCCTCTAACATATCTTGCCGTGCGCATCCTCAAACAAACAAAACATCTCTCCTACTCTGTCCGTCAAAAACCAACACACGTGTACTTTACAGTACGGCTTATGATTTACAGCGAGGGCGGAGGTTCTCCATTTGTCCAGATGTGTGCATCCCTCAATGCCTGCCCTCAGAAAGATAAAAACCACTGACCTGTACTGTGCAGAGCACACAGACACTGGCATGCCTTACATCAATGCAAGGAATCCCTCTCTTCCAACCGCCTTTTCATTTCTGCCTCAAAACATTCCCGTTCCTCCTCCATCTTCCCTCATCTCATCTGTCAAAGGCTAAAGAAACAAAGGCGGGGAGAAGGTGCTGCCTGTGTACTGCTTCCCCTGCGCTGCTTAAAGTTAAATTCCATCCCAAAATGTTTAAAATAGTTTGCCGATGGTTGAAGTGGCCCTAAGTTGACTGGTAACAGTTCAGAAATATTTGTCCTCTTTAAATATTTTGGTATTATAGAAACACACTTAAAGGTATTTTTGGTAATATTTAGGACTTAAGTCCAGATAAAGCAGAAGAAATTGAGGAGAAAGTTCTACATGTTTTGTAACATGAATTTCTATTTAGCCTGTCAAAATTGAGAAAGCGGGATAAGATAAACTTTGTTGATCTCACAGTGGAGAAATTCACTTTTCACATCGGCTCAATAGTCAAAAGAATGTGCCAAAAGGAGGAAAAGGTGCATGGAGTATATACAGTATATACAGTGTGTCCATATATATATATATATATATATATATATATATAAGTGTAGAGCAATGCTGCACCAATGCACTGATTCCACCATCTTTGCACTAAAGGGTTCATCCATTGTTCTTCACTAAATTATTCAAACTTGTATTGGAGGCACAGCATTTGTGGACACAAATGTTCAAGTCTTTGCAGAGACTCATGTTGACATGAGTTACGGCTGAATAATTTACGGCATATTGATATATTTGAAAAGCCCTGCAGATGGAACAACTTTTACCCCAGAAATTTTAACCTGGAACATATGTTATGGTATAATTAAATGTTGTTATGATCAGATTACAGAGACATCAGCAGTGCTTTTTTAAGAAAGCTGAGTAATTAATTCTTGTGAAAAACCCTGTGGGCAAGAATCTGAGCCACCACTGTTATGGATAGAGTGAAAGTTTTCTGTGCCAATAGCAGTGTAGAGGGAGTGCTACTGGTTTTGATCATTTGTCTCTAGGTTAAACACAACACATTCTTTTGAGGATTAAAACCATTCTCATTCACTTCCTCCTTCATTCTTCTGTTAGATTTCAGTGACTTTTTTTTTCTTTGGTGGCTTCACTCACAGTCACAGTTTTGTCCTCTCACAGACTTAGACCCCAACGAGGACACGGATGTCAACACAACGGTGTCCTGCATCCAGGGGGATGGCACAAATTACAGAGGAACGATGAATATCACCCCAGAGGGTGTGACATGTCAGCGTTGGGACTCCCAGTTCCCTCACAATCACTCTTTTCTTCCTGTAAACTTCAAATGCAAGTGAGTGACAGCAAAAAAAATTAGTGGTGATGGAATCAGAAAAACGTAGCTGTAAGCGGTGCATTTGTCAGCCTTATCATTTAAATCGCAGCCGATGTGTTTGTTACAGAGACCTGAGAGAAAACTACTGCCGCAACCCTGATGGGGCAGATTACCCATGGTGCTTCACCACAGACCCCAATCAGAGGATTGCCAAGTGCACTCATGTCCCCAGGTGTGATGCAGACGCTACACCAAAAATAGGTAAACTGCTTTACATTAACTAAACTTTTGTTTTCCTACTAAACTAATGCATTGATGCTAGCCAAAAACAAGTTTTTTTTCTCTCCACTTTCACTACAAGCATGCTTGGTGTGAGGGATTGCCTTTGATTCAACGAGTCAATGCAATGAATCAGTTTGACTGTATGATCTGGTTGATTTTTTAATTGCCTTTAGGTGACATGTGTTGTGAATTGGTGCTTTATAAATCATCTGAATTGAAATGGAATAGTCAGCTAGCACATGCAAAGCTCTAAAATGAGAAAACAATGGAAACAGTTGTGCAAAACTGACTGTTTTACATCTGACAGCATGTCCTTCCATTTTCTGACATGTGTATCAGATTCCAAAACTCCATGAAGCAACCGTTAGACACCTGTGCTTCCAGGTGTCACCTGAACAAGCCTTGTAGTTTAATCTGTTCAGTAGGTGACTAATATTTCCAGGTAACTGTATGTTTAAAAGGGTTTTGGAAAGACGTTAGGGCAAGAAGTGTGAAGTTTGCTTACACAGAGATCTTTTCCCTCTGTGGGGTTTAGCTTAACTGCTTGCAGCAATGATCTATTAAAATAAGAAACATTTTGTTTTTTATGTCACATATGTGACTTTTGTTTATGAACATCAGAGGCAACAAATGTGTCCAATAATTGAAAAGAAAACACCACAATCTTTTTAATGGAACATAATTCAAAAACTAAACTGCAGATGCTTTAAGACACATGTCATGTTTTTGCTAAATTACCCAGTAATTTTCTATATCACTCTCACAGGACCGAGCCACTTGGCAGCGAGCTGCCCAATGAATTCCTTTTCATAGGAGAACAAAAACACCAGACTTTGGCAAAAGCGCTCACTGTCGTTTCCCATGTTCTCCTGCTCTGCGTTTCAGAGGACCACACATGGCATTTACTACAGACCCTCTGTTTCAGAACAGACATAGTATAAATGAAGTCTAAATCATCTGCTCTATTTGAGAAGCACTGGTTACACAGGCTGTCATCGAAACGGAGCAGGTCCAAACCACAAAGGGGAATGTGTTTTTGTTTCCCTCTGCAAATGCATTCATTTGTGTTTTCGCTTTGCAGGCATTCAGGTGTTTTCAACACGGCAAGGCTTGGTTATGTTTGGCAGTCTGGTGAATTTTTATGGAGATTATTCAAAGCAAATGAACCTTGCTGTCCTCCCCAGAATGTTATGAAGACAATGGAGAGATGTACCGGGGAACCTTATCAACAACTCGATCTGGAATTCCCTGTGCGGATTGGTCACCTCATCTAAACAGGTAAACAGGTTTTCATGTAATTGAGACCATTTGACAGTTCAGTTCCTGTCACTTTGTTACTGATGAATCTAAGTAGCACAAATAAACCGTGAAAGGAAATCAGTGGTTCCTCAGGGTTTGGTACCAGGTCTTATTAATATTCATCTGACTGATGAGAGGAAACCTTAGGCTGCTCCCTGTGACCCACCATGACTAAGAAGTTGCCCGTTTTAGGGCCTTTTACTTTCTACTGAAGCCAGGCTGTTGAATTTACTTAATTTACAAGAATTTTAAAAGCCAGAATGGCACAGACAGATGGACATGTTCCAGAACCGACCCCTGACCCCAGGAAGTGCTTTCTGAGGAGAACAGATCAAAGCCAATCAGCTCCCTCGCATAGGCTGCAGCCAGCAAGTCTACCCCGCTCAAGGTTAAGGGTCATCCCAGGGAAAACTGCTGAGAGCTACAGCTTGTTTAACATTCTCCTGGGAAGTGGAATTATCTTCACCCCCTGACAAATTGTTGCCCTTCGCTTGGCATTATTTTTGTGCTGGAGTGTCTAAACCCCTACTTGGTAATTACTTTTCAAAGATATTTTGGATATTTGAGAAGATTGCATTTAATTCTTGTACAGCCAAGTGGCAAAAAGACACGTTTAGAAGTGAATTCCTACCGAGAGCACAACCAAATCGTTCCGTAGAGGATGTGGCTCCTGTTGGTCTGAGCCCTGTTGAATGCTTAAGGCTGCATACTTTCATACTCCCCTGAGCACCCTTCAGAAAATGGTTTCCTTCTATGTGCTTCGTGCTGTTAAGTCAGAGGATTCATTGCACAAAATTTTGAGGCATTGTGGGATTGCTTATAGTGTGAATCTACTGTATGTGCGTGCACCTCGACTCTATGCACAGTATTCACATACTTGGTTATTTTTAGAGCGACGGGGTGTGTATTACACTGTGGACAGAATAACAAATGCAATATGAGAACCTGTATTTGTGTGTCTTACAGTGGGGATTCTCACTCTACAATATCCCACGTAGGGCTGGAGAAGAACTACTGCCGGAATCCAGACCGAGACAAACATGGCCCCTGGTGTTACACGAGTCCAAATAACCGCCTGGTCTGGGACTACTGCAAGCTGAAGCAATGTGAGTGAATCAAGTATTTCAACATATGAAGCTACTTTTCAGAAATAAGAGAGCCTAGGTGATTCTGTTCTCACAAACTAGAAGAGGCTCCAACTGATGCACCTGTTTACAGGTGTTCAGATGACATGCAACAAGCTAAATCAGATGTAAAGCCCAGAAGGTTAAATGACAATCCCTGATATATACTATAACTATAGCTTTTCTTCTCTGTATTATGCATTTGTGCTGAGGTTAGTTCATCTGCACTGAAACAAGAAACAAACTTACTTTTTTAATAATAATATGCAATATTTACAGATGTTGTGCTATAAAATGTGTTGCTACAGAGTTAGCTGAGCTAACTTTATATCCCCACACTATGCAGTGTTTAACCTACGCTAAAACAAACATTACATGTTTTAATGAAACCTAGGTGGAAGTTCATCTGAAAAAACTAAATTACTTACCCTAATCCATCAGAGGCTTATTCGGTCATTGACCCAGCCAATCAGCTTTGAACCACACTTCCACAAAGCCCAATCAGCATCCACAGTTCTTAAAAGGTCTTCAAATCCACGACTCAGCCTGCTACCCTACCAAAGCGCGCTGCAGTGTTTGCACTATGTCTGATTTTGACTCAATTCAACCCACCTCCATCCCCTTCTCCACCACAATAGCTAAGCTCCACCTGGCTTTTGCATGGTGCTTCTTCAAACTCGTCCCTATCAGAGTGTAATTCCTCCCAGAGTCTTACTACATTCCCTGCCACATCTTAACCTGTCTGGCAGAAGGTCACCTTGTTGAGCCTGGTTCTGCCAGAAGTTTCTTCCAAAAGGGGAGTTTTTCCTAGCCTGACGTAGTCTGACTCAATTCTAGTCAGAATATGAGTCTGATGCTGCTACTTCATAGAGCTGTGATTATGGTGCGTGTTTCGAACGAACCAGGAAAAAAAAATGCCTCTGCACTCAATTGGATAGACCTACAACCAATAAGAGCAACGGAGTGCGTGACGTATGTTAAGCGAGGCATAGTTGTTGTCCACAAAAATCAAAGCGTGCAGTTGCACGCCTAGAATAAGAAGATGAGCCTTGATGGCGTTTCTCTGTTCCTCTTTTAAAATTAATTTGCTGTCGATATCTTCTAGAACAGACCTAATAGCAGAATCTACTCACCTAAACTCTCCAGTGGCAGCCATTATTGTTGTCACCCAAGCGCGCATTGGTCACGTGGTTGATTACGTTACTGTTGGTCATCTGTCCATCATCGTATAAAGCCCGCCCTGACAATTTGATTGGATCGCCTGACAGTGGGCGATAATACTCGCGCTACTATGGAGCAGAGCCAGACCGAACTTCCCGACCTCAAACTTTGTGGGCGGGACTAAGTTCGGAATGGCACCCAGGCTAAGTTTTTCCTCCCCACTGTCGCTTCACGCTTGCTCATCATGGACAGGTTCATGCAAACCTTTGTTTATCCAAGCTGGACATCTATCTTCCAGCTCCCAAGTGAAGCACTACTATCACAGTCTACTAGATCTAGCCAATTCAGCTCAAGCACACAGTCTCACCAACCAGCTGACTATTATGGACTGAACCAACTTCATCTATCTCCACCTATCTATCTTTGCCTGGGGGGGAACATCCCTGTTCTCATACACCTGCTTATGCATACTGATGTAAAATTCAGTTTCCTGCTGAGGTCTGAGCACCAAAGACTTAAAATAATTGTATCAATAATATTCTTCTAATTGTCTTTTCCTTTCCGTGTGAGTTTTTCCGATTAAAATAGTCTTTTAGAAACAGTTCAAATTAACATGATACACATTTATTTAGATACATAAACTGCATCCATCTAGAAAACCTGTTTCTTTTTGTCCCTGTTTCTGTGCTGTGCTGAGCTAACCAGCTGCACTGTGTCAGTCAGCTATCAGAAAGTAACTGGCCTTGAAGGATGAGGAATTATCAAACATAACAGTTGTTTTACAGCCAGTGTGTGAGTTTAAATCAGCTTTTCAGGCTGTTTTAACGACACTGACTGATTGTGCTTGTGTTTAGGTGTGGCAGGATAAATACAATAATTTAGCTTAAAAAACATTTGGAACCACAACAAAGAACAATAATAGTTTCTTCTACATCTCCTCGGGTGTCTTATGCGATCCTTAAGCTGTGGTTTGCTTTGGCAGATAATCCACACTGCCCAAACAGCTAACAGATGGGGACCCTACTGCCAGTCTTTCATAAAAATAAAAAATAAAAAAACACTGGTTCCTGGACCCAACTTTTTCCGTGGCTGGTTTCAATCTTGTTGCGATGAAGAGCCTCTTATGAATGGCTGCATAATGACTCCCATAATGTAAAACATGTCCTCAGTGAGGTTTTTTAGGTCTTGAACAAATTTATCTGCAGTGTTTTCTGTCAAAGCCTCAAACAATGTCTCAGACGTGGCGATAAGTCTCTATAAACTCTTGCCGTTTTCTCATGCTGCTTCCTGCTGCTATGAGGTCTGTTCTCACTGTTGTGCTTTTCTTATATTAGGTGAATCAGCAACAGTGGCTCCTCAACTAAACAGTGAGTTTCCATTTTGCTCATCTGCTTTCACTAGTCTGGTCCTCCTCCTTGTCATCCTATCTTCAATCTCCTCCCTTCTCCTTTTAATTCTTTACATCAGATCCTTCTGTATTCATTTACCTGGCTAAACAAATCATATTTTATGGTAGACCTTTTGAAGCCAAACTAAACATGATCAAAATATCTCCTTTTATAGATCTAACTAGGCCCAGGATATCATGCTTTGTGCATATAAACACCAGAATAGTTGGAGGACATGCAGTACAGGCTACAGACGGCAGCTGGGTTGTAAGCATCCAAAGAAAGTAAGTAATTTTCCATTCTTTATAGGATTCCCAAAGTCTCCGATTTTGCAAAGCTTTGCCATTTATTAAAGTATTAATGTAAACTTTCTTAGGAAGGTTCATTTGTGTGGTGGCTCACTGATCAGAGAGGACTGGGTTTTGACCGACCAGCAGTGCTTTACATCCTGGTAATGAAGCATGTTCTGGTATTTTTTTACAATGTTTTTCTGGAGCATATTGTTTTCTCTCTGACTTGCATCTCCTTGTCAGTGTTCCAGATCTCAGGGATTACAGCGTCCAAGTCGGCCTTCTTCACCTTAACGAATCTTCGAAGCGTCCCAGATTGCAGATCTCTCGTCTGATCTGCGGCCCAGAGGGATCCAATCTGGTTATGTTGAAGCTAGAGAGGTAAGTACCCAACTGGTGCTGATGTTTCCATTGATCTATGTTAAACCTAAATCTTGAATAAAAGAACGATGATTATAAAACATGCTGTTTTAAGTGTCATGGTCTTCAGAAGTCGAATGTAAATTTATAATAATAATAAGAAAAACCTGTAATAAAAAAAATGCTCCTAAAAGCCATCATTTTGATATGACGGAGTGTTGGGGCCAGAGATTTTATTTTATTTTTTTTAAATACGAGAATAAAGTCATAAAATTCCGAGAATTAGCTCATCATACCACTATGACAACCAATTACAGAAAGAAAGCTTCAGGCATGCCCAGACCAGCATATGACGGCCAACCAGCACCGCAAAACAGCAACATGAGTCAACTTTTTTCTTACACTTAATGATAATAATTTATTGCTAGTGTGCTAAAAGATTTAAAGGTGTATCATTCCGATGATGTTTACTTAAGGCCGCTCTACGTGCTCATCCACATTTTCACTTACCGGTTGTGAGTCTGTATGAGCGATGCAAACGGCAACTTTAAACAGAGCGTGCATGAGAAGAAAGGCTTCTGCATGCTTTGGTACGTGTTTAATAGTCTTTCCCTCTCGGAAGCGGGTACAGATTTATGCATGTGCATTTTTTTTAAATGGAGAGGGTGGTTCTTTTCAAAAATTCATCAAAATCCTTGAATTTACCTTTACTATTTCTTTAATTTTGAAATGGATGCCAAAGTATAACTTCACAAGATGCTCGACATTCATTTATTCATTTTAGGGAAGACAGTGTTTCCTGTAAGAGTTGTCATAAAATACAACTTTATTCTCATAATGTTACAATTTTATGCTTTTAATATAGCAGCTTTATTCTCCTAATATTATGATTTCATTCTCCTAATGTCATGACGTTATAACGTTACATTACTCTCACAATGTTATGACTTTATGCTCATATTTAAAAGAAAAATCTCTAGTCTCGCCTTAATACTCCTTCGTAATTTGAATTGTGTTGAAACATTAGAGCAAAGAAAAATGTTTGAATGTTGCTGGTTGAAACAATTCTACAACAAATTCTTGGAGCAACTAGTGTCTAAGTTAGGGAGTGCTGTTTTTCACCTGGGCCCAGTTTGGTTTAGAAAGCTTTTTCCCTAATTTGATAAAACCATAACTTAAGTTGGCATTTTCTTAGGTTATGCTTGTCTAAAATTATTCTTTACACTATATAAATAAAATTAGTCTTGAGATAATTTACTTTAAATCACCATTATGTTTGTTTCAGTCCCGCTCCAGTATCAGAGGGTGCATCAACCATCCATCTCCCGGTAAAAGAGTGTCACATCGCTGAAGGCACCAACTGCACCATGTACGGATGGGGGGAAACAAAAAGTACTGCCTTCCTTCACCTTAACACACCTTTTGAGTTTAGGGACATTAAAGCTCAGAGATTTTTACCTGACAGTGTTTATTAAATCACTCATGTGAGATCTCTCTCTGTTCAGATACAGGACCTGAGGAAACTCTAAACTCTGTGACTATGCCAATGGTTGACAATGACATGTGCTCACTAATCAAAGGAGATGCCGGAGAGAACAGGATATGTGCCGGTGGCAACATAGGTGAAGGTGTATGTGATGTAAGTGCCTTTGATCTATTTTCTTTGTGTGAAACAGTGATTGACACTGAAATTCCTTTATTTTCTGTTTTTATTAAGGTTTAAAGCTTTACACATTAGATGCTAGGTATGGTATTAGAGGACGTTGTTGATTTCCTTTTTGTGTCTTCGTTCTTTAATTTCAGAGGGACTACGGTGGCCCGTTGGTTTGCCAGAAGCATGATCGAAAAGTTATCATCGGTGTGAGCATCCCGAGGACAAAATGTGCCTCCTCTCAGCCTGCTCTGTTTGTTAATGTTGCTTTCTACTCGGAGTGGATTTATAAAGTGTTTAAACTATACCCCAGTCTGCAGAGGAACTGACACCTTAGGGTGGGACAGACCTGTAACGGATAGTAGGCGAGGCTGCCAAAGCAATGAGAGTTTTTTCCAACCTGGAGTAGGAATGAGGAAAAGCCACCTTTGGGAGAGTCACCACTTTTTTGGAGGACTTAAAAGACAGAATGTGACTGTGTTAAAAAACTCGAAGATCTGTTTTCATTTAGGCAACAGTAGTCTTTGGCACATGGACAGCGAATGTTAATGTCCCAACATGTTCAGATTTGCCGAAGCCTTTTGCAGACAAAGGAAAAAGCAAAAGACATTTGAGTCAAATCTGAGAGTATTTCCTGGAATGTACTTGAAACTGGTCTCTTTGACTGGCATTTCTTTCAATTTGTTTAGCTGGGCTACAAATTGTTGTTTTTCTTTTATATTATTGTTGTTTTTTGTCTCTCTTTTTTAACTTTAAAAATCTTTTATTGGAGGAAAAAACAATATTGAGAGTCCAAAGTCCCACAATTTACAAAATAGATAACCTGTCAAATAGGTTTAATGTGACAGTTTGAAATTAAATTAATTAAATAGAATCTATCAAGACATGTCAAATAAATATGTGATAATTAAAATCAGAGTAGAAATATGTTGTGTAAGAAAATAAAGAAATACATCTAAAACTTAGATGTTTAAATCTTTAATAAAATATCCAATTGGGTAGCTTTAGTTAAACAAATATAAAGATTTAAAATTATTTTGTTGCCTCATAGATCTGTTTGGGAGAAAATTATTTTTTAAGTTTTCTTTACCTGTCAAAGGTAATTATGTGAGTTAGGCCTGTTGTAGACGATATGATTGGTCTGCCTTTAAACTGCTGAATAAAACCAATCAGATGTGAACAAACAGATTAAAAATGTTTTATGAGGAATTTAACATATTAAATAGTTCAATTTTAAAAAATATATATATATATTTTAATTAGTGATCAAATCTGGTTTGACGTGTTTATTATAGTTTATTTTAAATAATTGTGACACTTTTGGCTCTCAATCCCGAACATGACTCTTGTTTTCAGGTATTTGCATAAAATGCAGCTGTTGGCTGTTTTAATGTTACAAGCATCAAGCAGAAAACTGTGGCAAACATTAACTGAATAAAAATACAAGCATGAAAATGTCATTAGAAAATCCCTAAGGCTGCCTATGAGAAAACAAGTAAGTCAGAAGTTTTATACAGCCAAAGCTGTCAGCTTCTAACTCCTGCAGAGGTAGAAAAATTGGACTTGGGATATATATAAATCGCAGCAATGAGTAGATAGAATACACAACAGTAGCAGCCATGGCCAACCTGTTGGTTTTAATTGTGTGCAGTAGCTGAACTACCTTTTCCCCAGTTAGCTGTAACTGTTATTTTCCCCTGAGAGAGCGCCTAAGTAGGACTGAGCAAAACGCTCCACATCTTGTGCTAATATTTGTAGCATGAGAGAGAGAAGAGCCGTGCCAAATATAACATGGCTATTTGGTCTCCAGTTTGGAGGGAACTGTGGCCCCTGGTGGGCTGTGTGTGGTCAGTAGAATATTTTTTTGTTTTCTTATATAAAAAGTGACTGTGTGTACAGAGCAGCAGATTTATTTTGTTTCTGACATGATGTGAGATTTTATAGGTCTTATAGATCTGGATTATTGTTGGTTCACCGAGTACGGTCAGATAGGCTTCTTTGAACTTTTGATAATGTGGAATATTTAAAGAAAAACCTTAGTAGGATGTAATAATTAATATTTATTTTTCAGTTTAGAAGAAGCAAATTTTCCTAATAGAGTTTGTAATTTGATGGTACGCTTACCTTGTGGTTTGTGTTATAAACATGGTATGAAAGAGATCGGGGAGCTTGGTGAAATGTGAAGAACACAAATATACGGTTTACTAAGACTCTTCAAAGAGGCTAAGATGGCTCATCAGCTGCTAAAATGTGCCTTAAAAAGCTTTAATACAGATTTTTATCACTGTACAATTATAAAAAACCATGTTACATTATATTTCCATCTCAGGCATGTGCTCTCTATGATTTCCCACTTTGATCCTTCAAACCAAATGAGCCACTTTCCATTTGATCTCAGTTCTTTATAAATGAGGTCATGTAAAAAGGACAAAAACATTTCAGGATGTTGGGATTTGTTTTTCTTCTTTTCAGGACCTGGCATGTTATCCTAAAGAAATCAAAGATTTGTTGATTTGACATTCTTTACCTTTTGCTAGTCCAAAGAAATGTCACAATTCTTTGGCATATAATCTGAATCTGTTTTCATGAATAAATAAGAGGCAACAACATTCCAATGGGATTGCAAACTCATAGCCGTGTGCATTTCACAAATAAAATCACTGTCATTTCAAATCCAGAAAAATGTGTTCCTCGGCAGACAGGTGAAACCAAATGCCAAAGAATCTTAGTTTTAAGGGAGTTTAGTTTCGACAATGCCCTGAGAGTGTTGCAAATGTTATTTAAATTAGCCTTAAGTAATGTAAATATGTAAATCAGAGTTGTACATTTTGTCAATAGCATACTTATAAAATACAGCTGCTATTTCTTTTTGTACCCATGATATTTTCAGATTTGTGTATTCTTTATATTATTCGTATTTTTAATAAACAATTTTCCATTGAACTGTTTCTCTTGCTGTGCATGTTTTCTTTCATGTATTTCTGCTCGCTTTGTTTTTGGCAGGCATGACTTTCTACCGCTGGGAGAAGCAAACTCCTTGTGTGTGATGAATATTCTTGAGTGGCTGAGGCAGCAGGGGTTATCCATACAACTAGTCGAAGAGATAAATTATAACGCTCTTAGAAACGTTTGGATAACAAATGCGTACATCGTCGGCTTAAGTGGTGTTGAGTTCACTCTGGATGAGCTTTTTGGCCAACTTTGGGTTGCTCAACAGGAGATAAGAAATGCTTTGTGCTCCAGATTTAAGCTTAATGCTAGTGGCAAATAATTACTGGGAGGTTTAAAAAGGCACTCATGGGGGTTTCTTGCATGACAGACAGGGAACATGTATTTAGCATCTGCCACTATGAACAATGTTAAAAACACATAATAGAAAGGAAAAAGCTCCCCATGAGATTTCTGCCTCTTGTGAAGAAATTAAACAGTTTGCACAGTAATTTTCTTTTTTCCATAGATTTAATAGATATAAGTGCATTGGAAACTTTGAATGAGCAATCCTAGAATGAATCTGTTCTGCTTGCATTGTTAGATGAAAGGTTTAAAGACGTTGAGGCTGGGAATGTCTTGTTTATAGTGGATGCAGTCCATATTTCAAATACTCAACTTTCCAACGAGATGCTTTTTTCCCCAACCTAATGTGTTATTCGACAGAGTAGTACAGTAGTTATTAGATATTGTGTGGTTTTATTGAAAGTCTGAAATATAGCATCTAGGTGCTGACAGTGTAAATAATTTACAGTATTTTTACAAACATTTCTGACACTGCTGTTTTTCTTTGGCTATTCTCAATTTGTGAGTGCTGCTGCCATTTACTCTCCTTCCTTTTTTCAAATAGGAAGTATTCCCTGTGCAGCGGTTTGCATTAGTGTCTTTGTTTTTTTGTTTCTTTTTTGATAAGCCAATAACAAAGATAAAGTTATATTTCGCTGTGCAGCCAAGCTGTGAACTTTATTTGCATTACGCCACAAGAGGGCAGTGTAGCGCAAAGACCGATGGGTTTCTTCAGCCAGAGGGAGATCTAATTAGTCAAAGCCACACACCTGTTTGGTTTTCTTCGTCTAATCAGCTCAGAATTTTTAAACCAGAGATGCTTTCGGTAATGTTTGTTCTTTTATTTATATTTTTATTATTCACTATTGTGAATTCCCATGCAGAATGTATTTAGTTATATATAACTATTATATTATGTTATATATATTATAGCATATTTTGCCTCTACAAAAACTGCTTGTTAAATGTAGACAAATGATGTTGCATTAAGTCTACTCGGGTAAATTAAAAAATTTGATGCACTTTAGGGCATCCTTTGTTGGGAGCCATGTCGGGTCAAATTAAGGTTAAAGGAAATACACAGTATACTGTTGTGTTCCTTTCTCATAGAAATGAACTATTTGCTCATAATAGGTGTGTTTAGCTGTGCCTCTTCTAGTGGGAATGTGGGAAACAGGTTCTCATGCAATATTGTCTCATAATAAACTGGAACTTTTAAATACTTTCACACACCTGCATGAAATAGATGCCTTGTTATTTGAGCTCTGCACAGCTAAATGGGGGAATACTGATGAGGGAATTTAGCATTTGATATAGATGTAGCAGGGGTATACACATTAATAAATAAAAGGGGATGGATAGTAGCTTCTTTTATACTAGACTTATGTACCACTCCCATAGAAAAATATTGGATCAGAGCTTCTGCCTTTTGTTCTGCCAGTCAATTCATTATAATCATTGAGTTATTTCATGTCAACACTGAGTTTTCTTGCCCATTGGAATAAATGGTAAAATGATTCTACTTCGGTGTATAAGTTCTTATAGCCTTTAGTTTGTTTATTTTAGAGAAGAGTGTTTTTTTCTGTTTTTAACCATTACTAGCTTATGACTGCTAACAACGGGCCTGGTTTTATTGCATGTTTCTTCTTGCTAAACAGGAGTATGTTCTCTCCACTGTCGCCACATGCCTTTTTTGTTTTCTTTGACTATCCTTGAATTTAGGTTTAAATTTATTTAAAGCAACTTTTAAAAAATCCCCATCTGTTATGTTTGGCTATTCCATTATTTAGCAAAAGGCACATGGAATATTTGGTATGTGCAGTTATCAGCGTTAGAGTACGGTTACTAATCCCCTTTTAAATAAAGATAAACTCATTGAACTAAACACAGCAGCACAGAAGCAATTGCCTATGGAAATCACAGCTTAGACACCGTCATGTGGATATACCATTTACTTATCCACCTTCATGGTGTTATATTCCAACGAGGGTCATTTTGTCAGTAGGCCATTTCCACACTGCTGACCAAGCTGTTTGCATTCTGATCCCGGTCTTTCCCCTCATGACTATTTATCAAGGAGCTCAGAGTCTTAGTGTCTCTTTGCTGTTGTAAAGGGACGTAAAGGAACTCAATGCCTTTGCCCTGTTGCAATAATAAAAACCGATACGAAGCAATGCAGATATCAGATCATGTTTAAAGTTTTTGAAGCTTCTCTTTTATAGTCTCTCCCACTGGCTTTCCCTGGACAAAAATCTTGGAAGGATGCCTTAACCTCCTTCTGCACTTTTGCAAAACAGCAAAGCCCACAGGCTGTTAAAAAGATAGCAACCATATCATTTTATGGTGATTCCAAATGATCTGTGGAGCTTTGATTTATGTCGACAAGTCGTCAAGCCAACCAAATCACTGACGAGAAACATGAAAGCACTTTGGATCGAGGTCATGCTCCATTTCCTAATTTATCTTTTAATTTTCTCTGTTAGCACTTCATGTACCCTCTAAAATCTACTCCCTGTTGAGCAAAGCCTGAGTTTATTGGCTCTATCAAAGTTTAGCATTAAAGAACCTATTTCCTGGAAAGACATTAGTAAAACATCCCACTGAAAGAAAAAAGGAGTTTATAGCAGCTTATCTTTCCAACTTTATTTACTACATCCTGTATTGGATTTGTGTTTTTTAGGAGGGGATTTATTGCATTAGTTGTATTAATTTTCTCAATCATAGGAACTCTATGACACTCACTGTATTTTTTTCTATTCCAATTTACAGAAGACTGAAAGACTTATTCAAACATCAGTTGTTTGTCTCCCTCTGCTGGACAGAAATTGTCTCTACAGTTTAAGAGGTAATTTACTTAAAGCAGTTCTTGGCTTCTCTAAAACTAAATGTTTTAAACTATCGGTATGTTTAAATATTCAGTCTGACTTCCGTACCATGTAGCCTGATAGATGAACATCTTCTCATGTTTAAATCTGGCTCCACATAAAGGACAAACTCTGCTGGTTCCACTGCTGAGCGACAGGGCAGAGGGCTCTGATGTTCTCAGAGGTCAGATGGAAGGTGTTCCTTGGGTTTATGTTATCTTGAACTGCTGGGAGGGTCACGGCGTGTCTGTCGAGATGCAGCGGAGTCCTGCCCATGGTCTGTGGCAACATGTCAAACATCTGCTGGGGTACTGAGGTAAAACAGTCAGAAACAGGCATACTTCTATATCTGTCAACATTTTTTAGAATAACAAACTAGAAATAAGAAAAACAAGCAATTACCTAATATTAGGCAGGTAAACATTACTACACTGACCTTGTTTCCTTCATTTCTTATTCTAAAGGTGTATTGCCTTGAGAATGTGACCTGAATCGAGGAATGGAGCTTCATAGAGTAGAAACCCATTCCATGAAGCTCTCTAGCTCTTTTCTTATGATATGAGCCCCCCCATTCCTTTAGTTTAAGGGACCAACCCCTTTGTGGCTGAGTTGCAGTTGTTCTCAACAACAGCAACTGCAGCCAGTTGAGAGTAAAATATTGAGCACTGAGGGAATTTGACAGCCGGCCTTGTTGTACAGTTGGCATCCTCCCACAGCACCATGCTGGAATTCCCTGAGCTCCTGATAGCGATCTTTTGAAGTATTTGTAGAAAAGCTCTGCCTGCCTAGATCAGTGTTTCCCTTTGGACATTTTGAGTCCCCCCTCCCAGTCAAAAGTATTGATGATTGTCCAAAAGTGGAAGGTACAATAACTGATTATATACTTATATACTTTTCATCTCAATTAAAAAACTCAACATAAGCATGTTGCCTAGTTAGTTAGTAAGGAAATGAAATATAAAAGAAAAATCCTATTATAAACCTGTATTTATAAAACTGGAGCTCCTCTGAGTAACTCCCTTATAAATCATATTTAAACCTGATGAATTGGGAACAAAAATTATAGTCAGACTGACTGAATCATTTAATTTATTTTCATCAAAACACCTGAGCTGCTTTGATGAGCTCCAATAGATCAGTATGAAAAACAGCTGATCCCACGCTGTTCCCTACATCCAGTCTGTTCCTCTGCTTGGTTTTGATGTTTCATAGATGAAGGTTAACGCAAACATATAAGAAAAACTAAATTTTCTCTTGATAAAAGCTTGTTTAATTTCAGTTAGGTCCTCAGAAGGCAAAACAGATCCCAGCCCTATTTAATTTTACTACTCAAGACATAAGTTGTCATTTATCCCTTGCAATGCACCCATGGACCACTAGAGGTACAGTAGCCCCTTTTGGCAATCACTGGCCTAGGTGATTGATTTTTATACAGGTACAGGTTTTTCTGTATTATTCGATGATAAAATTGCAGAATAGCCTCCCATTGATAGGATAGATGAACAGATTCAGACTTGTCTCTGATAAAAGATGGAAATATCATCTTACCAGCTTCTGTTTTAGAGAAGTAGCCATGTTGTAGTTTTCCGTGGACTCTGGAAGCCAAAGTGCTGTTTTGATAATTCATTCTTAATATCCCAGTTTCCTACAATCAAAAATGAAGGGATGTAAATAAAAAAGTATATAGCTCCCCCATTAAAAGGTTTATTAATGTAAAAGTGGGACTGGTTAATCTTTTCTAAACTATTTCCACATAAAATGCAACTTGTATCCTGTTTGTATTCTTCTGACTGATGCATTTATAAGGTGATGACATTTTAATACTTTTTGGATTAAGGGATTATTTTTGAATTGAATTTGTCTTTAGTTAACCAGTGCAAGGGATAAGTCAGTAAAACACTTTGCATATTTGCCCTAAATCAAAACTGTCATATTCTTGTGTGTGTATATGTATATATATATATATATATATATATATTGCTCCTCATTTCTCATCAGACTTGCACTCTGAAAACAACTTGAAACCAAATTCAAGTGCCATGTTTATGAGCAAAACTGCATATAAAGCTGATTTAGAGAATCCCATTATAATATCTGGATTATAAAACACTGCATGATCTGCATTAAAAACTTGAACTGAAGAAAAAATAATTAGATAAAAGTATTTCAGCAAAGCAATTTAAAAAATAATTTTAGGTATGCATATTTGCATTCATGAATTGATTGAATTCTTTGTCAGAAAATTGTAATGAAAGCCTGGCATTTCCACACTTATAAGAGCCAGAAAAACAAGATCTATGATAGTAAAACCTTTAAATACTTTTTTGAACACAACTGATCACAATATAGAGTTAAGAAGAATAGATGTAGAACTCAAACTTGAAATTGTAGACAGAGAAATAAATATTCTGATCAAAAAAGTTGCATCCTACCTGCGAAATGAGGCTGTGTGTGAGGGCTGGATTTAGAGGAACACATCCTCTTTTCTGCTGCAGGTCTGTAGCTGTAGAAGATATATACTTTTTTAAATATCCTAAATTTTTATGCTTTCCAATGTAGTTCCTTTATGTAACACACCTAATTGCAAATGTTTTGTATTTTTGTCCAAACCAAACATCCTTACTCTTTGTTCTGTTTCTGTCTTTGCTCTCTCTCCTCCATTTAGCCCGTCTGTTTGAAAACCAAACCTGCAGAAACAGATGTATCATAAGCTGAAGTCCTAATGCTGAATAAATGTATCTATATAAACTAATTTGGTGATTTAAAAAGTGCACCTTGATGGTGTCCTCGGGAAGTTTAATTTCAGCTGACAGTTTTTCTCTTGTGTACAAATCAGCGTACTGGCTTTTGGAGAATTCTAGTTTGAGAGAGATGAAAAAATATTTTCTGGAGCATAAACACACTGAACTGTCACAGGATGATGAATGGGTTGATTACCTCGCTCGAGTGCTCTGCTCTGCTCCGGGGTGAACGTGGTGCGGTTCCTGTGCCGGGAACCTTCAGATTTCTGGTCATCAGAGCTCATCACCTGCTCATTTACCTCCTCGACCACAGAAAGGAAATCTGCACAACATACGTTAGTTTGACACACTGGTTAACTCTATAATTACATTTATTTATTTACACTATAAAGGGAATTTTGGAGACCATTTATCATAAGTTATTACATTATGTTCTCTCTAATAAACCCATTAGGGTTTGATATTTTTCAGGAAAGTAGACAAATATATAATTAACATAAATGTTGATATTTAACAATTATTGCATAATAAAATAGGCACAGAGGTCAAACTGTAAATGTTTTGGGTTTCTGGTTTTCTATAGAATATGATGCAACAAGAAATTCTCCTGTTTCAGAGGTTGCTTGAGGAAAAACAATCTATGTAAAGCCCAATAGAGAGTATATAAGAGCAAAAGGTCCAAGAATAGTCGTCTGATGGAAATGTACACACTGGAAGATGAGAAATTTCAGGTGTATTGATTTAAATAATTTGGATATATTGTAAGGTCCCATTAAACTAATACAAGTTAAATGTTTGCGTTGATTATGGACTGAATATAAAAAACTTTCTGGGTCTTTAAGGTTATGAATTTGGCCTGGGGTTCTGAAACATGTTAAGAAATAATGCAAGGGTTTAACTTTGAAATTAAAGTTGGTGGGGACACTCGACACAATCGCTTTCAATATGGTTTGTATTTTCCAAAAATCAGCTCTAACATATTTATTGAATGCTTTCCTATTATTGAGAACACAACTCCAAAATACACTGATCTTTATATTTATAGGTAGTTGGACATTAATGTATATAAAAAAAGATGAATAACAGAAATATCGATGCCAACAGCAATACATCATGCCTCCCTAGTATGGAAAGCATTTCAGTTTCATTCATTCATTAATCCATCCAGAAAAATGTGGATTGATTGATGGATGTTTTCCCTTTCAGCTACATCAGTGATTATCTTCCTTCAAAAGCAGCTAAATCAAATTTAGAAATTTGTCCCACATATTGTTGAGAATTAATTGGTGTGGACATGTCCACACAGTCCTTCAGAAAATTATGCCCATGAACTAATGCAACTTTCTGAGGTGAGTTTTACATGTTTTGCATAGTTTCTGCAACTTGATGTAAACATTTTTGATAACTTACTCTGTCCAGCCTTGAATGGAGCATTGACTTCCATGCACATCATTCCATGGTCCAAGTGGATCTTTCTTAAAATTCTATTAATGGATGACACCTTCCAGGAAAGAGCGCACAAAGCCTCGTCAGGTGCAGTTTAACTGATCAGAACAGTTCATATTCCACTTACGCTCGGAAGTTTGGCTCCTTTACATGTTCTTCCAAGCCGTCTTCGTATCTCCCAAGCAAAAATAGTTGGATTTTCCCTTTTGCACTGGATGATAGAGGAGACCACAGCTGGAGTGAGAAGGCGAGGGCGGCTCCCTCCTAAGGATTTGGGCTTCATCAGCCCTGTGCGCCTGTAGCGGCACAGGATCTTACTGACGCAGCCGCTGGACACCTGCAAAGACGCACTGATTAATGCGCAATCCTTTACAAATCAGTTTCACTCATTCATACCAATATTGCCTTCCTTTTTTATTAAGCGTTCGGTCTGAAATAAATATTTGTGTAAGCTTTTTTTTTCCATTGCGCGCACCTGGAGAATCCTGGAAATGTCACTTGGACGGACTCCTTCCGAGGCCAATTCAATCATCCTCATTCTTTTGGATTCTGAAAGAGGTCTCCCGTTGAAAAACGTCCCTCCTAACTGGTTCACACTTCCACCACCTTATCAACCGTATTCACATTATTAACTCAGCCTAAAAAGTCCAAATGATGTATATATATTAGGATTGTAGAACTAACCTTGGCAAAGCGGATCGATGCTTGTTCCGCGCATCTCTCCTTGGTTCCAGGCTCCTTGGAAAAATGTTTTCTTTCCTCTGTAGGGCTGACTTCAGAGTAAAAATCAGACAGGTTTAACTCCGACCACCTTTTGAGAATGACAGTGTGAAAAACCAAAACCCTTGGTAGACATTTATATGCCTACAAGAGCTAAACAAATGTGGTGGCCCGCATGCGTCCTGAAATCAATAAAGCTGGGAGGGCATGTGGATAAACTTCTTTATGGTCATTTATTTACTATCTTATGCAGGTAATGAGTTTCATTGGTTTATATTTAGGGATATCAGACCAAGAGGGACAATATTTAACACTTTTTGTTCATCCTGAAATATAATGCATTTGTTATACTTATGGGAGAACCTACAAAGTTTTATTTGATGCATAATTTAGCTCTACATTTGAAAAGGTTGGTGATATTATCACATTACAGTCACAGTCTTCATCGTGTTTTGATGGGATTTTATGAAACAGACTAACATTAAGTGCAGCTGGTGAATAAGAAGTGATCCTTTTCAGATGTTTCCATTTGAACAAATGAAAATAGAACCAACAGTTCATACTGATAGAATTGTTACAACTATTGCTGCAAGTTTTCTGGCGTGGTTCTCCAGCAGATTTGCAGATCTAGAAACATAAATTTGTTCCCCAAAGCTTCTTCATGTTATTAGTTGAAGTCAGGACTTTGATTTGGACATTCTAACCCCTGAATAAGATTTAATCTATTTCAGTTATGTCTAACTCTTTCCTTTTTCAGGATAAAGACTGAACAAGGAGACCTAAAACTATGGATTTTGAATTCTATTCTTTAAATATCTCAACCACTTATTTGTTTGATTCATGGTCTTTTTCCTTCCCTAAATATCTGTAACAAACCCCTAATCCCTTAACATTAAGAGAGGCTTAATAGGAATAAAAAAACATTAAGATATCTATATAAATTGCAGTTTATGGTTCAAATGCGGTTCTGATAGTTTAACAATTCAAAGTACTTGTTTCCAGGGAGTTCTTTGGAAATGACAGCTCAGAAGATTTCAGAGAGCATTTTACCTTCATCTGATGATTTGAATCTTTCCTTTTGCGCAAAGCTTCAATTAGAGATGTTGATGTGCGCTCATGTTTGGTAACAATGAGGTCCCAGCTTCACAATGAACCTGATGGATCAGCTCCAGTGTGTTTCAGGGTTTGGAGTCACGTGACACAAGCATCCTCGTTTCCATCTGAAGTGGCTCGGATTAAACGGATCTCTGGCCTCCTCTCATAAAGCAAACATTTGGAAATCTGCTCCAATGACGACTGCCATATGGTAAAGTGCTTTTGATAAATCATAAATCCATCAGGTTGTCTAGCTTTATTACATTTTCCTGCAAAACGTGAACAAATATACCCGCGCACATACAGGCGCAAGGAGAGGGCCAATTGGGGGGACCTCGCTTATCCAGAAGTGCGAGGCTAACATCCTCACAGATGTTCCTTGGGCAGACAGCAGATAAAAATACGTTGTAAACGCTTTCAAGGGGAAATATTTGACGAGCAAATATTAGCTCATGTGAAAACCCCACACAAGGCTCGTCTTTGGGCCTGTTTAATGACTAATTGAATATCATTAGTTGGGTCCACAGACACCGAAGTGGCACCGACATAAAGAGTCAGATTTTACAAAGCCATATGGCCCATATTATACATTAACCATGAGTCAAATGACTGAAACACACTGTGTACAGTTAGGAAGACTGGTTGAAGGACAGGCGTTCTTGGACACCATCATCTCCATGCCAACCAGGACAAAGAATAAATGAGGCAAGCGTTTTCCTTTATTATAGGAGATTTGATGAGGTTATTACTTTATAGGTTACTACTTTGCTGCAGGCGTAATGTGTTCTAAAAATGCAGATTTAATTATGCTACCTATACCCCATTGTTAAAGCAGCAACACGTTTTCCTTGTGCGTAAATTGTCTCCTCTCTGCACCGACAGGCGGGGTTTTTATTACCTTTAGTGGCACAGCCATCGAGTGCGCATCAAATAAATGTTTCAGATGTTTGAATTGGGCACTAAACGCGTAAATGGGATCATGTTGGTGTGCAACTTGTTTCTAAAGCGTGTGCTAGTGTGAACAATGTAGCCGCGTAAAAAGATGACGAAATGTCTCCAAAGCGCACGGTGGTTCTGCGCGCAACGGAGCTGCGCCTTACTTCAGTTTCCTTGTTCGCGTTTCGAGAAAGCAACTCGCTCCTAAGAATTTAAGTTTCTTTTAAGCCTGACATTTTTGTTCATAAAAATGTTTTTAGCCGACCATTTAAGACATTCACTACTAATAAATATGCATGTGTAATTTTAAATCAACCGAAACCCCGCAGGGTAGACTATGAAGGCCGATGATTCATCTTTCTAGATAGATTTTTCTTTATACTCTTCCGACATGTATTCAGTCTATTTAACCTGGAATTATGTAACCAAAAACGGTCCAATTTAGTCTTTTTTTAATAGTTAGTGAAGAATTGTGGTAGATAACCCATCATCTGGGAATTATCTTATCTGCGTTGGCAATGTTAAGCAGATAGCCTTTCCAAATTTAAAAACTTATTCCTGATCCATTAACATACATTTTAATCTGGAGAGTTGATTTTTAAAGGTGAGAATTTTTAATGTCTCCTAGCAAATACATAATTTTAACAATAATTATATTTCCCACTTTAAACTCTGAAGAGAAATAAAAGACCAACAAGCTCTGATTAAAAATAAGTCTTTGGTTCTTTGTCAGCTTTCAAACCTGTGGGGGCATGTTATCTTTTTTCAATGGTTACCCTTATCTATAAACCAGTTTTCTCCTAATTGGAAAGACAGTAGATGTATTTCCCCCAAAATTTCGATTTTTTTTTTTTTTAATAGTGAAATTAAGCTATACAGTATATGACATCAGGATAACCATCTTTTACATATTTATATTTTTACTTTTTCTATTGAAGAAATGCCTCCCTGGCTTCAACATTTCCACTTGAAAGTAGTTCTACAGGTTTTCTTTAAAGGAAGGTTTCAGAATAAAGACATCTGTTTTTTGTTCTTATTTAGATCCCTTGAAAAACAAAACTGTTCAGTTGGTTATTATATCATTTGAATATAATTTGAATTAGAATCATAGCCACTAACTGATAAACATCAGAGTCTGTTTAAATGTCAGCCAAAAATGCTATCACATATATTAAAAACAAGTTTCTTGCAGGTGATTTTGCGAGGCTGTGATGTGATTGAACTCTCAGGTGTAAGAAGCACATTTTATAATGACTGTGTTTATCAGATATTCTCTTTAGAAGGATGGTTAAAAAAATAGAGTTGAATTAAATTAGATGTTCTAAAACCTTTCTGTACAGTATTATAGAAAAAAAAAATCAATAATCAGTAAAGACTAAGGTGCTGTTACATTATAGGAGATTTACAAAAATATGTTTCCCATTACTATTTAAACTCTGAACCTCCTAACCAACGTGTGAGAGCATTGCTACAACCCTCAGAAGAATTGAGTATAGAAATGAGAGGATTTATAGATTTAATTAAATCTATCATAGATTTAATTAAATCTTTTGTTTAAAAATCCTAATAAATTAAACTTGAGAGAACAAAATGTATGCCAAGCATTCAAAGAGAGTTAGAACATGTTCTGAATTTATTCTATATAATAAAAGATGTTTCTTTTTCAGGATTAAAAACAAACCTTTAAAAACATCATTATTTTAAAACCTATTTTCTATGACTTAACTGTTGCACATGAGAGGTAAAAACAGGAAACAAATAGAAATCTAGAGTTACTGTTGAATATCATGAGTTTTATGACTAAAAGGAAGAGAACTGCGGGATGAAAGGGACACTACAGATGACATGTGAGTGCAAATGGAATAAAAAAGGTTTGACCACTTAACACTTCTCTGTTTTTGCTTTAAGGTCACATCCAATTGTTTTAGATCATAAAGTAATTTTTTATCATTAGTTTAATATCTGCCAAAAAAAACAACAACTCTTAAATATATCCTCAAGATTTCTGGGAAAACTTTCTTGTGACTGGTGGGGAAAAACGTTGAACCTTTTGAAAGGTTTGCCTTTCATCATATCTCTTTTTAAATCTAACAAAACATTAAAGGAAAAAAAATATCATCCTGGTGATCAAATTGGTAATATGAAGGTCTGTGGCTACATTGATACCTGAAGAACGAGATGCTGATATTAATCAGGGCATTCATCTGAGGCTCAGCAGTAATTCTACCTCTATATGCTTTAACAATAAATTAAAGTAAAGATTTCTGAGGGGCTAAAAGTCTGAGCTTGAATCTGATTGAGAGTCATTTACATAACTTTAATTTGTGCAAAGAGCAACAGGACACATTTTCTTTACATTGATTTAAAAAAAATTGGTAGTTATCACAAAGTGTTGATGACATTTTCCACCAAGGGGAACACAATCAATTATGACATTTGGTGAATAGTTACTATTTCCTATAAGACCAGGTTTTTTCAGGGAGCTTTTTCTCCTTAATAGAGTAAAATATGCTGTTTATCTGGGTCTGACATAAGAGTTACATTTATCAGACAAAATATCTGATCCCAGTCAAATTACATTTTACAACAATGTTTCTGACTGGAACTGAACATACCAAAATTCATAGTGACATTTCAACAGCAAAGCTAAGCTAAGTCATATTGGTTTTACTTAAACCATCTAGCATTAAAGGTTTAGTGGAGGATCTTCTTTTTCCTAAGTGTACATCCTCATTTTCACTTACAGGAGGTGAGTCTGATATAGTAGGAAAATTGCAAATCTTCTTTCGGAAAGTAAACCTGCATGAGCCATGCAAACAGCAACTTTTAAACAGAGAGTGCACAAGGAGAAATGGGCTCGTGAACGCTCTCGGGTACAGAGAGTATGCATGAAATGAATATGCATGCAGCTGCATAACATATTTTAAAAGTGGAGAGGGCAGGGCTTTTTAAAAATTTGTGAAAATCCTCCACTATACCTTAAAATCAAAAAAAAAAAAAAAGAAAATGTAGAAACAGTTGCTATACTTTTTTCCTCTCTTCATTTAAATCGAGCCTTCAAAAAAGTAAAGTCATTCCTGAGTGGGTCACACCTCCACTGAGAATTCTCTGAATCATTTATAACTGCATTATACAGGGTCCGGCTGCCTTAGAGACTGTTCTTTTGCACAGAGAAGAACATGACGCGCCTGTTCAGGGGACACTTCATCCCAAAACTGCCACTTCTAATACTTCTGTTGTCTGGGAGCCATGCAAATGTCTGGGTTACATTACATGTCGAGATATAGTTAAATGTCATCACTATATCGTGAAGCATTGTTCATTTACACAGTGGAAATTATTTTATTACATCTGGATACAATTAATACATTAGAAGTAATTTGGTTTTCATATCAGTTGAGTGTAATGAGCCTTCAATCTATTACGTGTTTCTCAGAGGCTCACAAAACAACCACAAAAGCTTTGCAAAAGGCATCCCCAAAGTTGATCCTCGAGGGCCGCTGTCCTGCAGGTTTTAGAGGTTTCTCTGCTTTAGCACAGCTGATTCTGGTGATTGCAGTTCAGCAAAAGCCTGTTTATTAAATATTAATGTAAATCAGCTGTGCTGGAGCAGGGAAACCTCTAAAACCTGCAGGACAGCTGCCCTCGAGGACCGACTTTAGGGATGCCTGCTTTACAAGAAAAAATAAAAAAACATCATTTTGCATTTTACCCCACCCCCCCCCCCAATGATCATAGCATAAAGTCACTAAAAGTGACTTTAACGTCATTAAACGTCACACTTGCAGAATCTTGATGTTCATGTGAGAATCGTAAAAATATCAACTTGTCTTATATCATCAGTAATTCACATTTAAATAAAGAAGTGTTGTGCATTGTGTCAAAAAACAGGCGTACCAATTAAATATTTGTAAACATTTTGAATGTAATCCTGGAGAAATGCTGTGGAGTTATATTACTTTAGGAGGAATCGGTTATCTGGGCCTGTGTTGAACCTATTATTCTTGAGTGAACTTTTGCATGTCCCTCTACAGCACATGAGATTCCCTATGCATAACTGCATTGAATACACCATCTTAAGTTCAACTTTGTTTTAGGTTATTGCACATAAGAAAAAACACCCCATACTGATCTGTGGCATCTCTTTGTGAGCTGGCAGCTGTATGGCAGCAAACCTACTGTAGAAAACCTTTTTTCAAAAGTGGTGAAGAAGGCATAGAAAATTACTACCATAGATCTCATCTTTTTTCCATTAAGGCCATAGCTGTTAAATACTATCTGTAATTTGTGATTAAAATCACCAGAGACTGATAATCGGCATCACATCAGTCCTCAGTGCAACCCTATGGAAAGTGGTACTGCAGCATAAATAGGCAGAACAACACTTAACTGTTAAGGTTTTTACTCTTGTAGGATGATAAACCAGTTTGAAATTGATGCAGTAAATTCTGCTCAATATTTCAGGGCAACAAATCAAACTGAATTGTGCAATAAAGTAATTTTTTTTATATAGGCTGACTGTATACCCTTATTCTATAGAATCTCTGGTTGTTAAGTTTGACACATTTTTATAAACTTTGATATGTTTTATTGTTTACTATCTACTTTTAAACATATTCACCTTAGGTGTAAATATTTAAGCCATTTGCAGCAAAATTCAGGTCCTATATGCATATGTAGTGTATATTCTAAATACGTAATTTTTCTTAAAAATGTCTGCAAAGTGATACTTCAATTTGAAATTGTCATTTCTTTTTAACAATTATTGATCAAGTAATTAATCCATTTCTTTTTTAATGACTTAGCTATTAACTATTGTATTATAATTGTTATAAAATAACTATATGTGTAACATTTTTCATTGCATAAACTGTACCACTGTCTAAAACTTATCTGTTAAGCAGTTTTTTCCTCCTTTGTAGACAGAACTACTGATGAAGCTTCTTAACTAGAGTCTTGTGCGTCTTTTCTAACCTCTCAGATGCTGCACACAGCTGCCCTTCATTAGACAGATACCTGCTCTTATTATAAAGTATTTTTGTAATGTAAGTTGTTACATTTAAATGGACAAAAGTGAATTGGTATTTCTTATGTACCTCATAAGAAGTGGAGGTTTGACATTAAATTTAGTAGAGGTGTCAAGGTGGGGCACCGCTTTACATGGAGGCACAGAAAAGCATGAAACAAAAATGAGAGTTTAGCTTTTAAAATATAAGAGAGCTGCAGATCCAAAGAGCCACTTGGCACTAAATGAAGTAAAATTCCATGGTGTTTAACATTTTACATCGTTCAGATAGAAAATCTGTATTATATGTTTGAAAATGATAATATTATTAACCTAAAATTAAATAAAAATCCATTACCATGAAAAGAAAGCAGCTGAATTAATTAATTTTATCTTCTGAAATAAGATAAAATAAAGCTAACTATTGCAGTATTTGGTCTTTGTAGGTAATTCAGAAATATTACTTATTTCTGACTTATTTTAAGTCAGTATTTTAATCAAATCAGAGTTCAAACTAAAGTAAAACTGACCAATTCAGCTATATTTTTTTATATGGTTCTAAATAATTTTATGATGAATACTGTGATCCTATATCAATACAACTGAAGCTATCACCTTATTTTAAATTCAGGTGAAACAATATTGTAAGAAGTACAAAATTTAATTTTTCCAAGGAACCTATCAGTCATTATGTCTATTCCAGCATGCATCATAATTTTTGTTGTTATGTCTTTAGTGCAGAGACCATTACAATTCCAGGGGGGTAAGGGCACCTTTTGGCCTTAGTCTAGAACTGCCCATGTTATTATGACCTACTTGATTGGCTATTGATTGATAGATTGATTGTTTTTATTGATCTCACAGTGAAAAAAAAAAATACAAGTTACATCAGCTCAAATAGTCAAAGGAGAAGAAGGTTCCAAAGGATGGGATATATACATTGGATATATACAGTGTATACATTTGGATGTATATATAGTATATGCATTGCGTCCACATTTTACAGCTTTTTTTAAAATAGTAGGATCATTATACTGGGTTATTGCACAGGGTGTTTATGTGGGTATTTCTATAGATGGATATTTGTATTTATAATTATTGCACTGGGTGTTAAACATACAGAAAGAGGTTATTGTATTTCTAAGTTTCCCCAACAGTATGCCTTTAAGTCACATTTATTGTGAAATTACATCATACATGTTAAAATTAGCCTGATTACCAAAAGAAAACAACAAAAAAACACACATTTTATTCATTAATGCATTCACTTATGACACTTAATGACTTATTAAAATAACATAATAATCGCAATGTCATCCGTTTTATATGTTCTGTTTGATTAGATAGATAAATTGAAATGTTGATCCAATGCCCAAATCAATTATCATGTAGGAGTTTTACCGTGTCTCATAAGCTTCTGCATTTCATATTTTCTTATCAATGATTGCTTTCTTTCGTAATATGTAAATCCCTAACCTACAGAAGAAAATTAGGGCCACTAAAAAAAAAAAAAAAAGTTTACTAATTTTTAAATTTTATTTCAGTATAATATGAGAAAAAAGTCATAATTCTGATTTTAATCTCAGAATTCTGATTAAATCTCAGAATTCTGACTTTTTTTTCTGAGAAATTCTGATTTAATCTCAGAATTCTGACTTTTTTCTCCAATTTCTTACTTTTTTCCCAGAATTCTGACTTCAATCTCAGAATTCTGAAATTTTTCCCATATTAAACTGAAATAATATTCAGTGGCACTAATCCTCTTCCCTACTAACCCATAGGTCAACCTCTTCTGTTTTCTATCTGGGGTAACACTGTGCTGACGTGTCGTACCTCTCGCCCCGGAAGTTCTTACTTCAACTTTCTGACGCGGTTCAGCTCGCTCTCCGTTCGTTCCCATTCATTACTCTCCCGTGTACCCGGAAGAGCTTTGGGCCTGTGTGTACATGCATGGCAGAGTGTGTTTCCGGTAAAACCTGACTGTAGCTCAGTGCTCTGCCCTTTTCTCCTGGCTTTCAATAGATCAGCCACTCATCTGAGAGTCCCAGCTCCCTCACCTGGTTCTCCAACTAACAAGCAGCGTATCTTAAATTGGTGGACATGGCTTCTGTTTCGGGTCCAGCTCAGGCAGCCCCTGTTTCGGCGTCTCCTTTGCAAAGAGGAATAGTGAAAATGGTATGAATCCCAACATGTGAAACTGAACTCAGTGGTGAGGCAGCTAGTTAGCACAGTGAACTGATGACTAAAGGAGATTAAAACTGCGACTAGTTGTGCTTTAGTTTCTTTATAAAAATCCACAAAAATAGTTAACATAATTTTTCTAGTGTTGTCATTATTATAATAACAGATGTCAAAGCCATTCGGCTTGTTTGGGTGAAGCTAAAAGCCGGCTAACGTTAGCTTGCTGCTAAATGTGCAGGAGAGGAAACTGAGGTTAGCACGTTTGTCTGTACATTTCACTTTGTGGAAACTTTCTCATCAGGCTTGTGAATGTAAATGCTGTAAAATGTCATCTGAGTGGTTGCATTTGCAGTCAGGGATGGTTAAGCTGGAAGTTGGAAAGTTAACAGATGTCAAGTTTCTCAGCTAAAGGATGGCTAACTGTTAGCTGATTAGCATTTGACTGTCCAGCACCTGTTAATTTGAACGAAAGCGGTTTGTTTATGTGCAGCTCAAGTGTTAGATTCATGCTCAGCAGCAGCCGCCACATAAAACTTTCATTTTTTTCCTTTTTCTTTTTGCATTTGCTAACATGCTAATGTAGTCAGCTAGCTTAAAGGCTAACTCAAATTTTATTTTCTTTTCGCTTTCGCTCTTAGGTTTGTCACGATAATTAAAGTGAAACAGATTTAAGCGGTGAATTTAGGGTGGCTTTGTGTTCATGGAGCATCATTGTTTTTTTTTCTTCCCTAATTCCAGCAGCAGATGGTACTTGGTCCAGAGCTGGTCCAAACCAGCCATGGGAAACTGACACGTAGCTCCAACTTTCTTGCCCCCTGTAATCACCCACTCAGCTTGGTTCCCTGTGGGCTGGGTTCATCTCTCATTCATCTTTCTGTGTCAGGATAAGGATTTATATGTTACCTGAACTAAATTTAGTGATTATTCTTGTACATTTCTATCAAGTCTGGGTTAGCAGGGGCTGTTTTGTTTTTATAGAATATTCATTTTAAGTGGACATTTCACAGCTGTATGGTATTTACCCTAAAATTTAAAGAGGAGAATAGCCAAATATGATCTAATTGCTTTAATTTGAAGCAGAAAAAAAAAACAACACATCACCAAATAAAGCAGTTTTAACATTCATTACTCACAGTATATGTAACTTCTTTGGTTGTAGGTTAACTATATTGTAGAAAATAGAAACCCTAAAGAAGTTTTGAAGTTTCTTTTTTCAAACTTTAAATATGTAGAAAATAATCTTTGTTTTGCTGCTAAGAAATCCTAATAACGGTAAGTATACCATGCTGATATTATCTAGTTTTTTAGTTAGCTGTTTTATAGAGATACTCCTAAAGGATTGCATAAAATCTTTAAAAAAATTTACTTGAAGGAGATCCGTGCGGCTCCTTTTTGTTTTCATGATTTAGTGGTCTTTTGTAATGTATTTTTTAACAGTTTGGTTGGTCTTTCTTAAGTGACAAAAGATTCCAGCTGCATTTTCTTTTATTTTTTGAGTTTACAGTAGTTTAAATTAAAGTGTTGACGACACTAGTGGCTGGTTTTTATGGACAGTAGGCTGACAGGAAAGGTGGTATGAGAGAAGGGGAGAGACATGTGGGAAAGGACCACATGCCAGATTGGACCCGGGTCGTCCGTGTCGAGGACTAAGGCTTCCATACATACAGCCCACTCCAGCTGCATTTGGGGAGGCAGAGTGTTCTGCCATTCAAAGCCTTTTTGTAGATCCAAACTAAATCATAGTCTCTGCACAGTCAAACATGCTGACTATACCTATTAGTTGTTGTTTTCTTTTACTTTGTTTTTAAAATCTCTGTGTATTTTAAAACCAATTATTGGCTCCTGCCATGTTACAGGATCTTTAAAGTAGAATTGTTGCAACTTTTTTTATTTAATGCCCAGTTTATATTGTAACTTCCTAAAAGTTTAGACTTAAGGAATTTTTCCAACCTTGCCCAAAAATGGTCAACAATGTAATGGATGTTGTATATCTTTGATGTTGTAGCATGTAGTTTTAGAGTTTTTATAGTTCTGTTTTGCATTAGATGGAAAGGAGAATGTTGCCAATTCATGTTTTCTTGGGAGATATATATATATATATATATATATATATATTTCTGCTTCTGCCGTTTCAACAAAATCTTTGTATAGCTCCAATTCACAACATGTTGAAGCACTTTGCAGAGATAATTCACTGGCAGTGGAACCATGCATTCAGATTGGTTGATTTTATTTTATTTTTTTCTGTCAAAGAAAACCCAGCAGATTGCATTAAGTTATTAAATTTGCTGGTTTTATTCACTGACAGTAGACATTCACTTGCAGTTTTTTGTTGACTCTATAGCAATTCCTTACACTGAATATGCATGCAGACGTAATTTGTATGTTCAAAAAGGTAACAGTAAACTAGCTCAATCTGTAGCTCTGTCTAGGAAAGAAACAGATTAGCAGATCAGCTCTGTGTGAGTTGTGTTGAACTGTGAGAAACAGGCCTAAACATAGAAAGCAGGCCAAACTCTACCATGTATAAATGAAGATTTCCAGCATATTACTCCCTCCAGCACAGTGTCACAGCTAGGGCTGGAACAATAATCGTGATTAATAGATTGTCATAATCGTCAACTAATTTAATAATGGATTTATTGTTAATTGGAGTAAATGACTCTCTAAAACATGCCTTTACCTGACAGAGCCACATTTTGCATTGAAGATAAAAAATCAAAACCTTCTTTTTTCTCATTTCTTTTCAATATACTCTATCCAGTACTCCTCAAGTGGAAAAGGTTTAGTTTCACATGGTTTAAAAATCTTTTATAAGTAACCTTTGGCTTTGATATGTATCTGTGGTTGTCTTGTCTCCTGTGGTTTTATGTTAATGTAACTTTTTAAGCCGCCTTCTTGGCCAGGACTCCCTGGAAGAAGAGTTACTTTAACTCAATGGGACTTTCCTGGTTAAATAAAGGTTAAATAAAATAAAAATCCGATTATTGATTAATTGAAAAAAAAAGTATGGAAAGTTTAATAGATTTGCAAAATAATCATTAGTTGCAGCCCTAATCACAGCCAAAGACAGCCAGGCTAGATGATGCTACTATGATGAGAAAAGGAAGAGAGGAAATAAAATTAGAAGTTTATCTAACAAATACTTCAGAATTGAGGAATAGAAGTAGAATGAAACGGAATGATATAAAAATGGTGCTCATGTCTTCCAGCAGTCTAAACCTATAAAAGCATAACTATAGAGATGACTCAGGATAAGCTGAGCCACTCTAACAATAAGCTTTATCAAAAAAGGAAATTTTTTGACGTAAAAGAAGACCGCTTGTCTGCTTTAGTGACTAAAACAGCCTCCCATTCTACTTTTAGAAATTCTAGAAACCGCTAGTAAACCTTCAGATTGAGAGCCAAATGCTGTGTTAGCAACATAAGGTACAGATCAGAAAATCAGATCAGAGCCTGGTTATTTAGTGCTTTATATGCAAGCAGGATTTTAAATTCTTTTATGGATTTAACAGAAAGCCAATAAAGGGAAGCTAAGATGGGAGAATTATGATCTCTCCATTTAATTTTCTTTAACTTACGCAGTATTTTGGATCAGCTGAAGACTTTTAACTACAAGTAGTGGACTTCCTGACTGTAAAGAATTACAAAAAGCCAGCCCCTTGAAGTTATAAATAAATGGGCTAGTTTCTCGGAATCACCCCTGAAAATCTCCTTTGAAATCTGAAAATTTTTTTTTCCTGTTTGACTCGTTTCTTTTTTCGTGGATTTTCATGCTGCAGAAATGACAGCCACAGCTCTACTGTCCTAAGGTTGAGTCGGACAGTTGGCGATGAACAGCGGGGATTTGATGAGTTTATCTATCTCACATCTTAGATCAACAATCCCCAGGGATGCTCCCCGCAGACACAGTGAAGAGTTTGCAGATAAAGTGTTTGCTCAGTTTCGTGTAAATGCCACAGTTGTCAAACTAAAGTGTAGGCTATCTTTTGTTTTGTTTTTAGCTACATTATCACATGGCATGATCTAACCCTTACATTTGTGTTACACACTGTCACCATGACTACATGTCATATGAAGCTTAGGCCTCAAAGTAAAGTTTCTAACTATAGTGTTTGAGATTTTTCTGCACTGTTTTTTGTTAATTTGATACCTGATATAAATGCTTTTAATCTTTTTAAGATGTCTGAAAAATTTAATAGAGACCATCTATCCCTGTTATCCTTACATCGCTTCTGTCTGTCATCTAGTTATGGTTTTATTCTATTAAATGTTTTATAACCAAAATTATTTGCCTACATTGATTTTTCGTTTCTCGGGTCAAAGTATAATTTTATTTATTCTCTCCAGGTCTTGTCAGGATGTGCCATCATTGTTCGGGGCCAGCCTCGAGGCGGCCCGCCCCCAGAGCGGCAGATCAATCTCAGCAACATCCGAGCTGGGGCCATTGCCCGCCGAGCAGCACAAGGACAGCCCGACACCAAGGACATCCCAGATGAGGTAAGCTGAATCTTAATCCACTCTGTTTATTTAGATTGACATTCCAGGGATAATGTGTGTATTTTAGAGCTATTAAAAAGTATTCCAGCCTCAAACTACTTTGTATTTTTGTTGCTTTACAACCAAAACTTTAATAAAAGAGTGAAAGGAAGAGCTACAGTTCCTGATTATTTTTTTAATACAAATTAACTGAAACATGGACATATTTCTACTTCTCTTTGACGGGGCAATTCTGGCATATAAACGCTCTTACCTGTCCCCACAGCCTGATGCTGCCACCTCTGTACTTTACTGTGCAGCTTTGACTAGTGTGATAAACGGTGTTAGTTTTTTCACCTTACATAAGACCACCTGCTTTTGAACCAATGTTGTAACTCCTTACTGCATCCCTGTACAAAGCTTCTGTGTAACAGCTTCACGTGTGACTATAAATGCTGCAGCAGCGCTTCTGATGAAATCAAAGTTTTCTCGTGCCACAGTTATCCTATATACTCTGGTTCTCTATTCTCATCACAGTACATCACAATATCTCACTTATTGGCCTTTGAATAGAGTACTTTTATAACTCTGAGAATGCTAGCTGTTACGAACATTGTTTTTTTTTTTTTTTTATAAATCTATTGAGCAAGTTAACCAAAGCCATTGGTGAAGTTTTCTTTAATGACTGAATAAAATCCCACAAAGTTATGGACATATGAAAGTTAAAAAAAGGGGTTTTATCATAGGGAGTATAAAATGGTAAACCAGCACTAAGATCAGGTGCTGATTTAGACACCCTCAGTTCTATTTCAATATAAATATGTTGATTTATATAGTGCCAATTCACAACATGAGTCCTCTCAGGGAACTTCATGGAGACAATGCTGTCACATTAGTTAGGAAAACCAGTTGATTGCATCCATTCATTGACTTGAAGGATGTGCTCCTCCTGGATGAGCGTTCAGTGAAGGCCTTTGCTTCAATTTTGTTGTTGACTCTTCAGCAATCTCTCAAACCAAGCGTGCATGTAGTGACAGTGGAGAGGAAGACTCCCTTTTAACAAGAAGAAGCCTCCAAGCAGAACCAGGTGTACTGTGAGTGGCCATCTGCTGACGCTGAGTGGGGTATAAGGGGATAGAACCAGAAATGCAAACGGTAACTGTTAACCAGCTCCACAGGCGCCCTGTCCAAAAGACCCAGCCAGGCAGATGAGCTCCAAGCCAACTACGCCAGCCACAACAAAAGAAACGGGATCGCACCAGAAACAGGTCAAGCTCCGACATCTACAAATAGAGATGTCGACGACAGCAGCACAGCCGATGCTCCAATCCAGGATGCAGTGTTAGCAGAACAGGAAAATACCAGATGAAGCTACTATGATGAGAAAAAGCAGAGAGACCATAAAGTTATGAGTGGAAATTGACAAATACTGCAGAATAGGAGAATAGAGATAGAATGAGGAAAAGTTGAGCCTTCAGATTTCTTTTCATCTGTACTTTGTACTTTAACAAGAAATATTACTGAATAAGGAAAAAGAATGTCCACCAACCATGATGAAGAAACACAGCAATGCCCTTCATGTTTACGAACAACTCGTATGATTGCAGAATTTTTTAATTTTCTTTCCATGCTTTTATGCTATTAATAAATTAAATTGTACATTACTAAGTTGTTTATATCCAGCGTTTTGATTGGATGTCTTTTTTCCTTTTAGCCCTGGGCCTTCCAAGCCAGAGAGTTCCTGAGGAAGAAGCTAATTGGAAAAGAAGTTTGCTTCACAGTGGAAATCAAGACTGCTATAGGCCGGGAGTATGGCATGGTCTACTTGGGCAAAGGTCTGCCATCACTTCCAAGTTTTACTAATCTTTAACGTTTTTCTTAATTAAACAATGTCAATGCATCCATATTAAGAATCAAAGGGTTGCTTTCTGTGTGTCATATGCATGTCGTTTGTTCCTTTGTGCTGTAGATACTGCAGGTGAGAACATTGCTGAATCTTTGGTGAATGAAGGCCTCGCAACAGTCCGAAGGGAAGGAATCAGAGGAAACAAGTAAGAATTTAAAACCTGCATTTGTTAGTTTTGGTTTTAAAGCGTTTTAACGCAGAGGTTTTCCTCATGTCTGTTATGATAAAAAAAGTCCTGATGGGGCATACGCAGTCCAAATCACAGGAAAAGCTTTTACCTTTTATGACTAAAAACATGTCAAAGCTTAAAACACAGTTTCTTGAGTACAAAGAAAAAATTTTAAAAATCCTCTTGTAGTAACACTTGTTTTAATGGTTTGTTAAAAATACAAGTGGACAAAAAAGCATTTCAGTCACTTTACATCTAGTTTTCTCAGATTACCGCTTAGTTTTAGTTCAGTTGTTGTATCTATATATATATTTCTACTCTCCCATAAAAAAAAATAAAAAATTGATATTTCATTTGTAAATTCTGATCGTCTCAAGCACAATGCATTTGCTGCCATTGCTCTTTAATCTACATTTTTTGAAGGAATCTGGGCTGCATGTAATCACCATTTATTTGTTTAGTTTTATTCTATAGCTTTAAGAAAGGAACAAAAAAACATGCTGTTGATCTTTCAACATTAAAATATTTAAATATATATAAGTTCAATTGTACAATAAGCTAATAATGATTTAATCATATAATGTATCATTATGAGGCTGAATATGTCTGCTTTTGGAGCTTTAATTTGCAACTCCTCCTTTTATGAACCAAATAGAGAGGAAATCTCTTTTGGCAGCAGGATGTAAACTTGTACTTGCTAAAGCTTAAGGCAGAATAACACTGCTGAATCTGTTGGGAGATGTACTTAAGTCTTCAACTGGCTGACTGCAGAGAATTTATTTGCAGCCATTGTATCCCAGATGGTGGCAGCATGCCCCTACTGCTATAATGATATCCCTCTGAAACCCTTTTCTGCCACATTGCCCCAATGCACTAATCCCATAAATACACACCCCATGCTATATGACAAAGTACTGTATATCTCCCCCAGTGGTGGTGTTTGCACACACAACACACATTACAAACAATTTGACTCATGCTGCTGCATTTGAGTCTTCCAACATGAACAGGGATGATGTGAACATTTTGCTGCTAATGAACCATTTCAAGCAGCTTGTCCAATGGCCCATAACAAGCACTAATGTAAATGATGCTTTAAGTGTAAGCTGGCATCATTTGGCCAAAGGGGAGACCCATTACTCAGAGAAGACTTAGGGTCTTTGTTTTCCATCGGTGCGTTTTCCTCAATATCATTACTCCTCGTGACTTGCTACGTTGATCACACTAACGGTGATTCTGTGATAATTATGGAGGTGATGATAATGGTGATTGCTTCGGACAGTGCAGTTTAACACGTGCTTAAAGGTCGGCTAACCCCCGCTAACACAGACGACTAACTGACTGCACATATTTTTAATAATTGCACATGCACAGATTGTGGGATGTATCTGTGCATAGTGGGAGGTTTATGTCTGATGATGAATGCTAAAGTTATCTGCAGTCTGTTGTCATTCAGAGGAGACCATATGCATGTATTGATTGCTTCAGCTACATGTCATGGCTTAAAACATTTAAGCTATTATCAAAAGCGCTTCCCAGTGATTATGCATGCATTTCTACACAATAATATGAATTATGGGTTTGTGAATGTCTATAAAAAAAATTCTATATCATTGGAAACAAAAGGTCAAATGCTATTCAAGTAGGATGGTGTATTTTAGACAAACTTTTTGATTGCTAACTGCTTTAAAAGGCTTTAGTGGATTTCCTAAGTTGTCTTTGCAACCCAGAATGTTAATTTTAGAGGATTTAAAACCGCAGGCATCAGGCTTGACTAGTTGGTTAATAGAGGCTCCACTCATTGATGCAGGAATGAGGTACATTAATGGTTCACACCAACTGTACTTTACAGCCTCCCATTGCTCCTGTTTAACTAGAGCCCTCGAGGAGAACGAGTTGGGGGCTATAAACATTAAGGGGTGGAACAGTTTTCATTAGAGTCTTACTGTTCAATTATTCTGGAACACTTCCACACAGTTTGGGAAAAATGGCTTCCTACAATCTCCCTAAGGAACACAAACAAGCAGGGCTGTTAAAAAACAAAACAAAAATAACAAAACTTTTATCTAAAGAATGTTGGGTTGATGGCCAGATTAGCTGGAAGATGTAGCTTATTAAAGGTTTAGCTGTAAAGTTTGCTGGTGGAGTCGATGTGTTCTGTACTGCAACTTGTTGACCTTTAGCATAGGTTTGATATGAACCACTGTAGAGGAGGGAGTTGCTGACCCAGAAACTGATATTGCTGCAGAAGGGATGAGTTTACCATTATCAGTCTTCACAGACAAGGTTATTTAGACTTTTTTCTAAGAAATCTGCTTAGAACGCAGAACGATTTTAAAAATCCGTCTGTTTTGCAGTCCTGATTTATTTTTTATATATCTGGTAGCGCTATGGTGCTCAAAATTTAAGTAGCTTATCTCCTACATAACATTTGACCATCAGTACCCAGTCAGCAAGAAACAGTTTTGAGTTTAAAGTTTGCTGTTAAAGCTACACTGCTGATTTTTTACTTTTGATTAGCCTAATTTTGAAAATTATATATAAAAAAAAAAAAATTCAGGACAATATATAGCACTTCATGCTTATCCATGCTCCCTGCAGGCTGATGCTCCCAAAAACTTGCCAGTGTCATTTTAGAGTGTTGCATCTGTTGCTGAATAAGTCATGTGACCTAAAGCGCAGCTTCACAGCAACTCAAAGTTGTTCATCAACAACATTATGACACCTCCAGATCACTTATATTTTTGGTTCTCTGATGTAGGATTTAATCAATAGGATGAATAATGTGTTGTTTTTCCCAAGGAGCTGTATGGCTTCTCAGTCTGCTGGTCCAAATTGGTCTGCTATGAGCTTCCAAAACACCAATAAATGCTAATTTGGTGACAGTGTTGCCAATTGCTTTTGGAGCAATTAATGTGGAAGTTACAGGTCTATTGCCCCTAGTGTCTAAAAGTTGGACTGTGTAGATATAAATTACAGTAGTGAGTAGAATGAACTAAATAGGTTTTTATTTTTTAGGAAATGTGCCCAGAATCCCGGTTGAAAAATAGGGTTAATTTTAATTTAAGTTCCTTGTATTTTAATGAAGTAGCATCAAAGTATTTTACAGGTCAGGATAAGGGAGAGGAAAGAAAATGGAAAATATTCGCAATTCTAAACTTAATTTCTATACATTATTGTTGTAATCATCATCTGATCTCATCCATCTTCTATTGTTTTCTCCACCGTTGGCCGTCTATCTATTTGCCTGGCCTCTGTTTTTCATTCTTTCAGCTTGTCTCAGTCTGTTATGGTGTCCATCTGTTTGTCTTCATATTGTCCGTCCATCATAATTGAATTTATCTTCGCCTTTCTCTTTGTCCTTCTATCTGTCCAACTGTTATTTTTGTCAATTGATATGTCTATCCATATGAGTCCATGAGTCTGGTCATTTGTCCTTCTGTTTCCCAATCATTCAACCACCCTTGTGTCAAAAAAGGCTTTTCTTAATGGATACTTCAATTTTCCCTTTAAATTATGTCATTTTCCCTTTGTCCATCCATACATTTTCAGTTGATTCATTCATTTCATCCTTCCATCCATCTGTCATTTTGACCACACATTTATTTATCAATCCATCTTAACTGAGAGGTCTGGATAACTAAATTAGAAAACCATGAGATATTTACATCAAATATTTATGGGAACCCCAAAATAAATAACAGCAGAAAGTGACTTCAACAAAACAGATAAACTATTGTCTATACCATCTTGATTGGTATAACTCTAGACCCTAAATATACGGGGCAGCTTTTGCTGGTGGAAGTAACAAAAGCCCGATGGCCATTTAAAGTGGTGAATAATTAAAGCTTTATAAGCACCCTGAAAAAGCACAGAGCTGCACAATTTAGGAAGCCAGCATGGAATTAATTGCAGTGTTTGCAGGAAGCTGCGTTTCTGCTGTTTTTGTTGTCTCTACTAAGTGCTCAGATATTTTTTTTTCCTGTTAAAAAGCAGTTTCTGTGTGATCTTTTTTCTAACCATCTGTATACTTAAAAATGATTATGCTTTCATTCCTCTTGGTACAGAACCTTTTGAATATAAACCCAGAAAGCAGTGCAACCCTATCATCAAAATGTTGTCTTTCTGTTTAGTAGGGTGTTTTATTTTTTTTTTAGAACCTTTAGAAAGGGGAAATATCTTTTTAATTTTTGTGTTTATAGGCCAGATGACACCAGCCTTTCATAAAATTTTGATTTCTATACGTGTTTAGTTTTTAAAGCTGTTTTAGAGCATTAATTTCACACTTTATTTACAGTCGGACAGTTTTTGAAATTTGACATTACATTAAATTTAAATCTTTACTTTGAACTGAAACTCTCCCTGTGTTATTTCAAAAAGCTGCATATGAATTGTGCAATATTGCTTTGTTGTTTGACACATTTTTGAATACATTTGAAAGATTTACTTAAGGCTTTAGTGGAGGATGTTCTTTTCCAGGTGGATCATCAAAATAAGTGGTCCTCCTAATTGTCAATCATTCTGGTGATATGTTTACGTAAGACCTTCTCAGTTCTCGTCCCCATTTTCGCTTACCGATGGTGAATCTGACATAGTGGAAAAATTGTAAATCTTCTTTTGGAAAGTAAGCTTGTTTGAGTGATGCAAGCAACATCTTTTAAAAGGAGTGTGCACGAGGAGAAATGGGCTCGTGCATGATCTCGGATGCGTTTAATAGGCATGCCTTCTCAGGAGCGGGTACAGGGTTGTGCATGTGCATTTTTTTTTTTTAAGTGGGTCTTTTCAAACGTTTCTCCACTCTACCTTTAAGAAACCACTGCCAACCCTTGAAATTATATCTTGTATGACTAGCATTTGAATCATTTTGATTTTTTTTGTATGCTTTTTTGTTTTCCTCATGCTGTTTTTTTTTTTTCTTCTCTTCAGTCCAGAGCAGGCCAGACTGTGTGAACTGGAGGACCAAGCAAAGGCATCCAAGAAAGGCATGTGGAGCGAGGGAGGTGGCACGCACACTATTCGTGACCTCAAGTACACCATCGAAAATCCGCGCAACTTTGTGGACTCTTCGCACCAGAAGCCTGTCAATGGTGAGGATCATATACAGATTTGGAAAACTCATGGTTAAAAGTAAAAACACAAAGGAAACTTAGGAATTTGGTGCAGAAAGGAAAATGAAATATACTCCCTTTTTTTTAGAGATTGTGTCGTGACCTCATTCTGTTTAGCTTCGCTGTCCTGCACGCTTCAAAGGAACATTCTTTGAATCTCTTCTCCAACCTGCAATATCCCGGCCAATTTATTTCCAGATGATCGCCTGGATCATTGGCTTAGCTCATTTCACATCTCTTTAATTAAATGGAGAAGATGAACAGTGGATGGCTTTTTTATGATTTCATCTCTTGTTCTCACCATTCTTGGGTCTTTCATTGTCATTTGAAGATAAGATGGAACAATCTAGTTTGAAAGCTTAAAATATCCATACAGGTGTTGTGGTAAAAGCTGGAATACAGTGGAAAATATTTATAACTTCAGAAAGCCCATCTCAGAACAACCAATATTTGGTATTTAATGTGGTTTTTGTCTCGACAAAATATCTCTTCCTTATATGATACGTCCCACTGGGTCAGTCCTTCATAGAACTACCTTTGAACCATCCAATAGTTTTGCCTTTCCACAAATTCAGCTTTAGATTTAGGTCCTTATTTTAACTAGGCCTTTGTGCATTGTAGCACTGTGTTTAGCGTCACTGTTTTGCAGGCGGGAATGTTTTTACTCTTGTTTTATTACAACCTTTAGGGGTTTTTTTGCGAATTGCTTTGTATTTTGTCTACGTCGATCTTTGCAAAAATAATAAGAAATTTGTCAGACTCTAAAGTTGCATTGAAAAAAAAATTACACAATAATTCTAACGTTTTTGGTTTTTGCTGTGATGAAAAGGGAAACTTAAAAGGATCAGTTCCTTTCCATATATGAGAACCATTATCTTCCTCATTCTTCTCTTTCTTCCTCTCAGCCATCATTGAACATGTGCGAGACGGCAGCGTTGTTCGTGCCTTGCTGCTCCCAGACTATTACCTAGTCACTGTTATGCTGTCTGGTGTCAAGGTAACTATCATTTGAAAAAATTCAAAACGCATATTATGAACTGCCTTCTTTTTACACTAATTAATTGCTCCTTGTTGTTGACTGAAATGTATTGTAATGCAGACAGACTGCTAAAAAAACAAAACAGACATGAAGAGTCGCAGCTCTTTTTATTCCTCACCTGCTTTGTTTTGGCTGTTCTAATGGTGTCATATCTGAACAACTCAATTTCCCCATCTGTCTCTTTCACCCAGTCAAGCCTTGCCAGTAGACCACTCAGGATAACTAATCTTTCTCATCTTGTACTTGAGGATATTAGATCTATTTCAAGGTGTTCTTTGTCTCACTGCACAAAGGCTCATCTGCTCAACGAGCATATCATGTTTGTCTCCCATCTCCTGCTTTCATAAAGAGATTAGATATTAGAGAGACAACAAGGTAATATCAGTCAGGAGAATATTGGACAAGCTTAACAATATAATTCTGTTCACTATATGTGACATGCACTTTTGTAGTTATTGGTAATTGTTGTGAATTATTGTGAATATTGACTTTCTGTGCCACTGTGACTGCAGTGTCCCACGTTCAAGAGGGAAGCAGATGGAACAGAAACACCTGAACCTTTTGCAGCAGAGGCCAAATTCTTCACAGAGTCCCGTCTTCTGCAGCGAGATGTTCAGATCATTCTAGAGAGCTGTCACAACCAGATCATACTGGGAACCATCCTTCACCCGGTAACAAACAGGAATCTGGACTTAGTGGACTTGATCTTTCTTTCTATCTTGCTTACATACAGATCTTCTTCTGTTTCAGAATGGGAACATCACAGAGCTTCTGCTAAAGGAGGGATTTGCTCGTTGTGTGGATTGGTCCATGGCTGTTTACACCCAGGGAGCTGAAAAACTCCGAGCTGCTGAGCGGTAGGACATTATAGACTGAAATTCATGTTCATGTGTAGTTCATCTAGTGGATGCAAAAAATTGCATAATGGTGGCTATTTACGGAAAAATGTTCATTACAGGCAGCATAATGATGCATGCAGGACCTGATGGCCGTCTGGTCTTCAGTCGAGTTTAGTGGATAGCAGTTATTTACAATCGGAACTAATTCTTTGAAATGCCAAATATCAGTCCCTTCAGTGTTTAAACACTCAGTCACCTTTATTTATTTCTATGTTGAAAACATACGGATACCCTTAGAAAAATACCCACACATGGCAGGTGATTGGAAATGAAATATAAAGAAAAAGCATTAAGTCATTTCCTCCTTTAATGGGGCCTGTATCCTGGACGATTCAACTGAAATTATAGAAAAATTAAACATCTGGTTGCAAATCTTTGTTTGAACCCCTTTTAATTTAAAATAAACTGGGTGGGTGGTTTTTAAAGCATCTTTTAGCGTTTCTCATTTTTACTTGGGGATATTTACCAATCCTAGGACAATTTCAAATCTTCTTCCCACCTCTTACAGTGTAGCCATAAAACAAACATGCTGAAATTGATCTATTGTATCCACTTTACTGTCTGTTATTTTATTTTATTTTTTTTTAACTTAAAATATTTGTGCTTTTCAGTTGAACTGCACAAAATTAATGTAACTTTAAAGTAATTTTTCTTGGACTCATTCTTCAGTGAAATATTTAATTTTTACAGGAATATTTAGACTGTTAAAGCCACTTGAGCAGCCATTTTTTATGTTGAAGGATATTTTCAAAGATCTGGGGAAAAAAAGTATATCTTTGAAAATATAAATGACTACTACTGCCGTTGCACATAGCCCTGGTAGGGTAGGATTATGTTACTTTTATTGCTAAAATGACTTTGTAAAGGTTTTCATGCAGGTTTTTTCTCTTCATTATGACTTTAAACACCATTTTTCTCCCATCTTAGGTCTGCTAAAGAGCGCAAAGTGAGAATCTGGAAAGATTATGTGGCACCTACAGCCAACTTGGACCAGAAGGACAGACAGTTTGTTGCCAAGGTAAGCCCTTAAAGCGACAGTCTTATAAGCATCTTCTGCTATTTAGTAGATCCTGTTTCCTTTGATTTCCTGTTTGCATTAGTTATCAATAAATATCCACTCACACAGGCACATCTTAATATGTTTTTGATCAATTTAGTAGAGTGATCTTATGGTCATCACCAAGTATTGGAACTCTTTCGGCAATTCAAAAGCAGAGAGAAAGATAAGAAGCTCTACAACTGCCCCTGCTAAATGGTCTCTCTGAATTGGAACTTGATAAAACTCAGCATAAGCATTGCTCCCAAGATTACCACTGTTCATGGAAGCAGCTTTGATTCTGTGCCTTTCCGCTCATCCTTCCCACTATGGAATCTTAACAGAAAATCCTGCAGCTGCAATACTGTTAGTGCGATGACAATAGACACACATTTTCCCCACTCTCATCTGTCCTTACAAAGCTTCTGACATTCTGTGACATTTAATGTCTTTTGCAATGCCCTATGTGTCAGACGGTGACATTCACTGCAATGAGTCCATCCAACATACGAAGTATCAGTTCATGAAACCTGAAATTTAACCAGCAACTAAGACTCCACACAGCCCTTTTCAATATCAGTACTGCACTTACTGATCTTACTCTGATTTACTTACAACACCTTGGACAGTGCCATTATATGATTGTAGTTTCACTTTTAACAATTATAAAACAAATGAACTTTTGAATGGTTTAACTAAGAAGCACCTGCACATGTTGCCATGAACACAACAGCACAATGTTTGATAAAACCTTTCAGGGCCATGAATCCTGTTTCTCGTCAAGCCTCTGTACAAGAGCTTTGATTCTGATGAGCAAGATGAGAAAGTTATCCATAGACTCGCTGTATCAATAACTTCAGCTTTATCTTACTGGTAGAGAAAAACAAACTGTAGATATTTGTTTGTTTTTTGGTAATTTATAAAATTGTTAAACTGAAAAAAGCAGAACAGCGTGCATCTTAATGCTCCTTATAGAACTGTAGTATGAGTAGAATCTGCTGTAACTGTTACAACAGAAAAAAGTATGTATTTTTTATGTTTATATTTTTTTTGGCTGTTTGGACAAAAATTGGTCTGACCAGAATGTTGAGAAAACAGCTCGAGTTTTGACGTGGAAGATGAGGAAATGTTCCATAGAGATCCAGTGCATAAGTAAATTCCCCTTTAAAGTTTTATTTTCAGCTTATTGACATTACTTGTCTCATTCAAATAGTGTGCAAATAACTAAAGCAGAAATAATACTGATCTGATAATAAAAACCCTTTTTACAACAGTTATGATTTATAAAGCTTTTACATTATCCACACTTTAGTTGTAACTCCAAAGTGACAACACTGGCACGGCTTCCTTTAGATGGGCTCTTTATTAAACGCCTGGTAAAAACTACAGAAATAGAAGACAGAGTTTTAGATATCGATACATTTACAGAAAATCAGGTGACACTGCCTTTAACAGAAGTTACCTCGTGACCGCCTGCCACTTCGGAGGTCTTTAACAGTTAAATTCTTCCTCGTCCACTCTAAATTAAAATAAGTAATTAAAACACCATAAACAATAACATTGCAAAATATTACAAACATAACTACAAATACCTTAACAGCTACAGTAAACACAAGGCTGCTCCACATAGCTCTGATCCAAGCTTCTGCTCTTTCTATGTTTATTCAAGTCGCGTTGCTTTTCACATATACACAAATCTCGCGATAACTTTCAACAACCCCCACCCCCCACAAATTTATTGTCATTACACTGTCACAAGCACAAAGCAACAAAATTCACTCTGCATTTAACCCATTCCCTTGGGGAACAGTGGCCTGCCCTTGTACATCCAATTTTATCTTTAGTCTATTGATATAATGTTGTGTATTATGGTAAATTTGAATAAAGTACATTGAGATCTTATAAAATAAACACTACAAAATTACAATACCATGGAAATCAGCACTTTTATTCGACCAGGTTCCTTTTCATTGGGTAAAAAATCCATTTGCACAATTTTGGCGCTTCTGTGCGAAAATCGCAGGTCCGCCTGAGCCAGTATCCATTAAAACTTATGTGGAACAAATATACTTCCATCGATTCAATCCAAATGTCTTGCAGTCATTTTCAAGATGTGGCTCTACACATTCTGAGGCTTCATCCAGAATTTCAAAGGAGTTTCATAATATTTTGCAGTGTTCATAAATTATGACAATAGTGGTTCCACTTGAAAAATATTCTTTAATTACTATTTACATTTCACCTTATAACTTTGGAGCTACATTTGCTTTAATCAGATATGTAATTTTAGGCAGAAATTGTTCCTAAAACCCCTGTTGACTTATAAGGGGTTAAAAAGTAGAGCTGCTGTCATCTTACTGGGTGGGAAGGAAAACCTACTAGTTAGGTAATGTGCAGATGATTCTATGTAGGAGTCTAGAGGCTGTTTCTTGGCGTAATGGTCCTTATGGCGAGTATAATGTTTTAACAGAATTACTATGTGACCCCAAAAACCTAGATCTTAGAAATATTGGCTTTGGTTTTTACACACAGCCTTAGGCACAAAGAAATGTCCTTAATGTCAAGTACAGTACAGAGGGATGCAGTTAGTTTTTGTTGTGGTAAGGCATCTATTGAAACCAAGGAAATAAGCAGTGCAGCTTAATCTTGTTGTCTACAGGAGATGAGTTATCGCCTCAGAGTTGTAGTTTAGCAACTCTAGCTCCACATCATCAGCTGAAACTGAGTTCCTCTTATAATCATTTTAAAAAATTTAAACCCAGACCTCAGTTTGTTCAGAATATGAGCAAAGTGTTAAAAAGAAGCATCCATTTTTTTTTTAAAGTTTGCATTTTGTCCGTGTTCCCTCGCTCTGTACCCTGAACTATTAAGACCCTGAAAAATTCATAGCCAGCCTGAGGGTTACATCAAAGATGTTGCTTAGGCAGTCCGCTTACAGAAGGGTTTTAATAAACTGCACACACAGTAGAAAACCAAACACATAAACAGTCTGTTTATTTTTTCCCTTACTCTGGCAAAGGGGCTAAAAACTAAATAAACTTTCCTATTACTCTTGTAAACTGCTTTATGTCCTAAAGTTATCCCATAAAAAAAGGTTTAATGCCAAGCTGGGCCGTACCGGTCATCCCGACATGTACCTGATGGATAGCCACAGAAAATATGAAGACATATGCTCCTAATCGGCCCCAAGGCCTTTGACTTGAAACGTATATCTTTGTGGCTGACAGTTGTCATTCTAAACATCATGCTGACCCTTTTACTGGAGGGTCTCGCCAAAATAAGTGCACAATCGACAGACATGAGGTTAGTCAAGCATGTTATTACCCCACTATATTAACCCCACTGGCATTTGTCGCTAGATAATACTGCAGAGTAAGGACTCTCAGAAGGACGCATCTATCCATCAATCCCATCATCATACACTCCTCCCCTATCCTTGTCCACTTCACTTTTCACTTCTTATTACCTGAGTGACGGATAAATGGAGAAGCATAGCAGGTCTAATTCCCACAAGTCTGTCCAGCTGATGAATCTTTTTTTTTCCTTGTCTCTCTTGTCTAGTCTTTGCCAGCTTGAGGATACAGAAGTAGTCTGGGTTTCATTTGATCACTTGTCTTGGAATTAGCTGAACAGCAGACAGGACATTAAAGGGTCTGGGAACTCTTAGTCTGTTTTAATTGCGTTAATATTGAGACATTTCTAGCTTTGAGATTCAGGTGAGTTTTATTTGGGTCCAGTTAATTTGGCTTAAAACTCCTGATGAGCTTAATTGTACGTCTTACAAAATGCACAATGAGAGTAAAGTAGATTAAGCTTTTTTCCCCCTCTTGAAAACTGAACAATATGACTGGTTTACTCCGGACTAATCAGCTAGTGTTTAGTTCTTCTGTGGTCTACACTGATGTACTAATCATGCCCTCAGTCGACGTGAAGCTTTGTAATCAGGCCGGGAAAATCATGTCTGCTGGCAGCAGTACAGAAAATCAAACCATAGGTGTTGCTTTTTTTCGAAACGGTGAAATGACTTGAAAAATGAGTAAGTTCTGGCTAGGCGTTTACTTTCCCTGGAGTAAAAACTAACCTAATAGATTGAAGTGCCAACCAAAACACTTCCCTGACAGTAGCCAAGATCCCTCCTGCACAGTGACTGATCCTGGCTCCTGCAGTTGTCATGTCATTGCCGGTCAGATGGTGGCAGTAGATCTCCACCTTTATAGAATCGGATTAGACAAGGGAGTCTTGCTGCCAGCCTATTTGTCTTCTCGGCCCTCATGGCAACTACTTTCTGCTCCATTTTTCTATCTATTCACCATCTTTTCCTCTGTCTCTGTTCCTGTGATATTTGCTCAGAGATTAGACTCCAACTCGCTGGCTTGCTTCATTTTACCGTGCCTCAGTCCTCATCCGTGTTGATTTGCCTCCCCCCCAGCTTGCTTTTTTTGCATCTTTGATCCTGCCCTCTCCGACCGATAATTAGCCAGTAAAACCTGAGCCATTTTTGTCCTGTTCTTGCCACATTCTCTCTCTTGCACTTTATTTACTTGGGCAGGCCTCAAAATGACCTTGGTGCAGTGTGAGGCTGTGCGGGCTGATGTGTGTGTGTGTGTGTGTGTGTCGCTGTATGATTGCGTGCCCCCCCCGCTCTTGCATTTACTCATTGCACCTCACCCGTTCTTCGTCTCTCTCCCTCCTGCTCCCCATGTCTCAGTATCTCTCCCACTCAGCTCAGTGATTAGTGTATGATGTATTTTGGCTGCTGTTGTGGGCAGCCTATTTAGCATGTGGGTTGGTCTAATTTCTCTTCTCTGGTGGCGAATGCAAAAGCAGCCTTATTTGCTTCTATAGAATAATTAATATCATGATGAGCCCAACACACCTGGATCCATGTCTTTAATATGGGTTTAGGAAGTTCAAACTTGGTCTAATATGTCATTTTAATGTAGAGCTACTACTGTTGCCACACAAACGTTCACAACGCCCAAACTTCAGTTGACGAATGGCTCAAAGCTGCATCTCTCACTTAAGGACTTTAATCTAAGTGCAACCTACAGCTGAGCTGCAGTTAGGGTGATGATGAGTGAGGCCATTTAAAGAAGTAGTGGGTGGCAACATGTGTTTGGCGATTGATTTTTCAGTCTCTAGCAAGTGGCCTACTTAAAGGCTCAGTGTTTGGATGCTGCTTTCATCTCAATCACATTGCCCCCCAAATCTGTCTCCTTACATGAAAGGGCACATTTACAGACCGGATTGAGTTTCTAGTTTTAGTTCATTTTGCACAATTTATCACATGCACCTGTTTTGCATCACCAAATCTAAATATTTGTGATTTCTTTGAGAAGTTGGTGAAATGGAATATAATCTATTCCTCCCAACAGGCCTTACACCTGTGTAAGTTAATGTAACTGTAAAGGCTAAGAGGTTCATGGTAACTCTTGAGGACCTGCATAGATTCTTATCCAAGGAGGTAAACTTGCCTAAGCCCATTCTTCGGCTCACATTAAAGTTATTGTGGAGGAGTTTTGTGTAACCACCTAAATTGAACTCTGTTAACTTACCGTTTGGACAGATTTATCACTGCTTTTCGCTCCCCGTTGGTAACAACAGCCTATGGCGACAGCTGGCCGCTGTGTCGGCAAATCCCATAATGCTTTGTGAGGAGAGCTCTCTGCGCAAAGCATTCTGGGATATATCTGCCTTTTCTGGGCCCTTTTTTTTTCTCATACTTGGTAGAGATTTTTTCTCTTACGACCCTCGGCCATTTTCAAAGAACCGCGGTGAAAAAGGTGAGCTTTAGTGACTGTCTGAAACCGCAGCTAACCACACATATACGCCTAAAAGTGTGCATGCGTGGAGCACGTGGGAGGGCCTTACATAAACATCACAAGAATGCTTGACAGTTAGGAGGACCACTTATTTAGGTTATCCACCCAGAAATAAAAGTTCACACTCTATACCTTAATGGAAAATGAACACTGCAAATGATCCTGGAGACAATTTCCTGTGGTAGAACTTTGTTCAGCAGGGACAAGAACTCTGGGCAAAGTTAAATGGGATGGATAGATAAAAAGGTGTTGGCTGTTGGAGGCTGTAAAAGGGTTTTGCACCATTTGAGTCGGATTTAACATCAAATCTGCATGGCCTCGGGCTTTTAGTTTTGATTTGTCAAAGCTTTTGCTTTAAGAATTGCAGATTGATTGATCCCTGATATTTGCTCCCCAATGGTTACACAAAAAATTGACCAAATTATTATAAACTGTTCTCTATAAAAACAAAAAAATGGTTCTCTATTTAAAGAAAACACATTAGCAATGCAAAGCTAAAAAGGAGTGGTAATGCATGCACCTCCCAGGATCTCAAGTCATGACTGCTGAATGCACTAATGAATCAGCCAACGCATGCATCTATTGACTAAAACACACATATTGGCCAAAGTATCCGTCTATCTTGAGTCAGGATGTTATTGTTGAAATTTAGATCTGAATCTAACAAAAAATCTATAGCAAGACTCAAAAAAATTTCTAGCTGGACGCGCCAATTCAACCCGAAAGAGTTAAGCTATTCCACATGGGGTCAAAGTTTAGTCTTTAGATATCTACGTCTGACAGAAACATACCCCAAAGACATGAAACCGTAATTGATGTAAAATGGTTGCATGAAATATTAATACAGGAAGGTTAACCGCATAAACATGCCACACTTAAATTATTTATGAAAAAAATTCAGAATTTATTCATAGAAGAGATAATGTGTCTTTCTGTCCATGTTGGTATTTTTTTTATCTATCAATAAAATTCTGTGGAATATTTAACATTGAGCTTGAAAGAAAAAAAAGCCAAAGGGTATGAAAACTTTTGTGCAGAGTCGTATTTACTAACCTTTAACACAGAAAGATACTAGTAGGGATTGAAGAGAAGCTTGTGTAACTCAGCCTGTCTGTCTCAGAGGATATTTGTGTTTTTTTTTTTTAAACCTTTTTTCTCTCCCGCTCTGTCTCCTCCTTCAACCCTCCCTGCTGCAAATCCCCTAGATAGGCGAACGTCCTCGTGCTGTCCTCTAAACCTCGCTGCCCTGCTGGGAGGCCTTAGCTCGCTTACTTAGTCAGTCCAGACTTCACTCTTTCTTAACTCACTTTCAGTGCCATCTGCTAACAACGGCACACAATCTACACTGTTGTCCTCCTCCTACTTTTGACTGAATCTCTTCCCCTCCATTTATTCTTTTCGTGCTCCTTCACATCCCATTTTTCTTTCAGACTATTTGCTCGCTCACTCACTCAACAAAATGCAGTGCTTGTGCTTCCGCTCCTACACTTCCCTTCTCTGCCGGGGTGTAATATTCCCCATGGTTGCGTACAGTTATTTAACTTTCAGGTGATTAATAGTAACATTTTTAACATGTCCTTTTTTTCCTTAGATTTTGTATTAACATCATTTATCCATCATGTGCTCGTTTTGACGGTTACTGCCTCTGTCATTGCAGGTGATGCAGGTGATCAATGCTGATGCCCTGGTGGTCAAACTCAACTCTGGAGAATATAAAACCATCCACCTGTCCAGCATTCGGCCCCCTAGGAACGAAGGAGAGGTACAGAGAAACCACTGTGTGTCAGATTGTATATTTGGTCATCTTTACTCAGTACTTCTGACAAAATGTATTTCTTCTTTTAAATATGCAGTCAAATAACATTTCGCTCTTGATTGAAATCCCAAGCTTCTCCCCTTTCTTACACATGGGGATTCTCCATCTCCAAATAATTATGGGATCAGTTCTGACCACTTGGTGGCACCCTAAGTTGGGACACATGCAAACACATTAAAACACTTGCACACACCCAGTGGTTGCAGCACTGCAGAGAGTGAGGCCAATCGATTTTTTTTTTTTTTTTTTTTTTCAAAATTTTTTTTCTCCTTTTTTTTCCCCCCTCCACACTCTATATCTTTCCTTAGAATCAGTTCTAGGCTGCAAAAACACTCATATATATATATATATATATATACGCCTATACCACTGAGCATGTGATGCTGTGGAATGCATATTTATTGACGCAGATGGAAGAAGCTGCGTCTATGCAGTGATGCCTAGACTCGGATGTCTGTGTGGGATGCCTCTTCATCATCCTTCTCTCTATTTTTTCCCCCTAGTTTGTTGGATTAATTAAGCCTCCATAAAGACTTTAGAGTAAAATATTCTTTTAGTCACCTTCTATTACTTTTAATCTGATTAGTGACATCTGAAACATAGGTGCAAATGTTATGCATTCTTAAAAAAGGATGATTCTGTTTAGTGCTGTAATAATTAATGAGACGCCCCTGCCTCCTAATTCTGCTGCTCCTGTTGTAAAAGTCAGCTTGCATAACATCTGTCAGAGCTTTTTTTTGTGTGCGCATTTTCATGGTTTATTTCCTCTTGTTTTTACTGTTGCGCTTTTAGTTTTTACTCCCTGCCGTCATTACCACTCCTCCCCTCTCGCTCTCTTCACCGCCATCATAAGTGCTCCTCTTCATTAAGATGCTTCTTTGCATCTTTCCCTGCCTTTCGTTGGTTTTCTCTCCTCTCCGTTCTTCGCTGTCACTGTGTCCCGTCCCTTTCCCCCAGGTTATGCACACTGTGGGTAGGAAGTTGACCTGCTCCAGGCCTTGCTTGCCGTATTAAATCTGTTGTTTTTGATAAACTTTTGGACTAAAATTCTTCCCATTTTTTTTCTCTGTTCTTCAGATTTTATTGCTTGTTCCCATAAATCTTCTCTCCTATTTCTAATTGTCTTCATTTTCTACCTATTTTCCATTTTCTTGTATTGTTCTTTAATCCATGATGTTCCATCCTTTTTTTCCTGTCTTCATTGCTACTCTTTATGCTGTCTGTCACTCCGTCTTCCCCCTGCACCAGATGCTTCTGCAGTATGTGTTTTGTGCTTCATTACACTGTCGTATGTTACAGGGAGCTCCGGAGAGGGAGCCCAGATGTGAATGTGATGTGTGTATTGTATTGCTTTGACACTGGAACAGTTGTGCTCTGCTATTATTTCACCTCATGCATATTTAATTGTGTGTCTTTGTTTTATCAGCCTGTTTGAGTGCTGCATGGATAAAGATATGACTAATCCTGATATGAAAATCTAATTTCTAAATGGACAGATGGTCATTAGAGCACCTGATTGACATTTTTATCTGATTAATTTGGAGATAAAGCAAACATATACATATTGGATAACCTTGCAGTTTTGTTTACATGTGAATATATTTAGATGCAGTCATTGTTATGACTCCAGGAGCATGTTTCCTTTTTAGGTCTTAAGTGGTGAATAAAAGTTGCATCAATAAGTGTTTTAAAGGGCTGTACATGGTGTTACTGCTGGTGTTGGTTAGCTAGTTATTTTTGTCTGAGCTAAAGAGCTGCCTGCCTGTCTGTACTGCTGTTGGCTCAGCTTTGAGTGTGGTCGCTATGGCAGCAGTGCAGAGTTATGATAGGTTTGCAGATGAGACCTTTTAACTTGAGCTTTCCTAAAAGTTCTCGCTACCAAGCAACAAACAGTACCTAGCAAAATTATTGATACCCTTTAGAACATTTTTGTTGCCATAAACTTGTATAACTTAACATATTGTTTTAATACAATTGTAATGTTTAGAAAAGAATAGTAATTTGTTAGTTTTAATGGCATTCAGTGCCTCTCAACCCTGATATTGTTTAGATAAAATCAGCAAAAGTAATTGCCATTACATGACGTTGGCTGTTCTTTTAGGGAACCTGGAGGTCTGTTTGAACACCATTTAGGTTCAGAGCAGTAATACTAGAATTGTCCTACTCTAAGTTAGAATTGGTAACATCAAAATCAAACATTTTTGATGAAACGCCAATCAGGATGCTGTTTCAAAACATAGAGTTCATGTAGAAAAATAGATTTTGGCATTTACACATGACATATTTTGGGAATGTTTAAGGAGTACATATACTTTTTCATGCCACGGTGTATGTTTTTTTCATGTAAGCATAAGCAGTTTCTTTCGTTTGAGTTTTTGCAGCAATAGTAGCTCAATTTTTATGGACAGTAGGCTGACAAGAAAGGGGGAATGAGAGAGAGGGAGAGAGATGCAGGAAAGGACCACACACCAGATTCGAACCCGGATCTCCTGCATCGAGGACTAAGGCCTCCATACATGGGTTGTGTGCGCTAACCACTGCCCCACCAGAGCACGCCCAGCACAGGCAGTTTCCTGTCCTGTTTAATTTAGCAGTGGGGCCTGTGTCTGACCACTAAATTCAGTAAGGTGTTGCCGCAGAGGACCTTAATTTCATGCCCTGTCTGCTCACCTTTACAGATGCAGAGGTAATAGTTTTCCTTCAGCTGCTGGAGGCCATTTTGGACAGTGTAATTTTCCTTTTATTACAGATGCATGAATGGTTTTGATTGCCAATAAAATAATTGTCAAGCATCTCCAAATCATTTGCAAAGTATCTGCAGGAAGACTAAATGTGGTTTGACAAAAGGTAAGGGTAGAGGTCTTTTGTGTGTGTGGGACAGTTTGTAAAAGCTGTATTTTTGTTGGTTTTTTTTGCTGAGGGGGGACTCTCATCTTAAGGTCAAGACAAGAGGAGGTCACAGCAGGTATCTTTGAGCCAGAGGCGCTACACACACCAACATCATGTTGGCTAACATTGTCATCTGTGAGGGATTTTCTTCCTTACAGTGCAGCAGACGGACGTAAATACATTGTTACGGTTTGAAGCACAGTTTTCCCACACATGCATACCCACAGACGTTTCTGTTTAAGCTTGGTTAGCCTTTGTTAGGAAACATCTTGGAAATTGGCGTTAGACCATACACAAAGTTGTGCTCAACAGACATGCAGTATGTGTGTTTTAGCTAGTAAAAGGGGGAAGTAAGAACAATAACTTGGAGATTTAGCATTGTGAGAATCTTCTTAATATTTACTTTTATATGAATTTAATCAGGTTTGGATGTCTTTAGGGATTCCTTGTTCTAGTTGATGTGTTTTTTATTTATTTATTTTTTTGTCTGAATGTTTATGTGCACTGTTAGATGGTTTATTCTGCAAACAAGTCAATTTAGATGTGTGTGTGTGTGCGCTGTTTAGTAGTATGCAGGCCAGATGCAATGTACCAGTGCACTGATGAACTGTGACAGGTCCTGCCAAGCCCCTCTCCACTCCCCGTCTCCTCTGGTTTGTTTTAGTCTCCCAACACCACGACTCCCCCCTTCCCTCTCACGACTATACTAATTGTGCTCAGACTGACAGATTAGTGAACCAATGGTGTGTGCCTGCAGGAAAACATGGGACACAAGTCCCCTCACTTGCTTTTATGTCTGTTTTTTTCCCCCTTTTATCTTTATTGCAGTCTTTTTTTCTGTTACCATTATGGTATGTATTCAGATTCAAGATATTTTTAGCTTGAGAGATGAAGTCAGCATTCTTGCTCTTGATTTTTTTTTTCTTCCCTTCTTTTTGTGCTTTCCCATTTTTTTCTGTTATGTAGTAGGACAAGCTGGGTGTAAATATGAGTCGGGAGAGACATCTATGGTTCTGAGTAGCATTCTGTTCCACCCACTCACACTCATATTTATGTGCACGTATGTGCTTTCAGTCTGCAGCCATACAGTCTTGAGTTTTTTTGTGTATGTTTTCTGGTTAAACAGTTCTAATAGATTATATTGAGGAGTCACCTTGCTGTTCTTACATAAGACTGGCTCATCCCAATGCTGCAACATATAGCTCTTTCTACTCGCCTAGCCTTCCTGCAGCACTTTCTTCCCTGCTATGTTGCTTTAGTAGATGTTCACTCACAGGATGTTTTATTATGTACATCTGTCCTTTTCCAACATAAAGGGGAAATTATTTAATCGGTGTAGTGGGGTTCTGGACGTGAAGATGACAATCTGCCTTAGTTTATACAGCATCTGAGTAAGGAGTAAAGGTGGTTAACAAGTTTGATATGCTCATAGACAAGCAGCAGTGGCTCAAAGAAGTTGTTATAAACCAAGGTATACAGAATATCCTCTCTGAATGATCCTTAAGACAAAATGATCAGCTAGTGTCCAGCCTCTTGACCAAGAATAGGAATATAGTCTCTAAAACTCTTCGACCAAAAATTGTGAGTAAAGGCTGAAACTATCAGGACCTGATTTAGGATAAAATATGATGGGAGATTGTATTGTATGATGCATAATTAAAAGTAGTTGGGGAAAGCTAGCCTGACATTTGATAAGTAAAAAGCATTGGCTTTGGGCAAAAGACAAAGTAGAATCTCTGAGTCGCAAGGTAAACCAGTATAGTTTGTCTCCCTATACGTCTGTCCAAAAACACACAGCACATGTTTTGTGTGCATGTAAATATGGCAAGAGGGGCAGAGTTGGACATATATGCAACTAATAAAACATTTTAATAAACAAATTAGCCTAATTAGCTAATTATTTTTATTTTATTCTATTAATTATTCTATTCCTTTCTATAAATTTTTATTTTATT